ATCAACTTAACTAGAGGCTCAATTAAGTTATCGATAACACGAAAATTGATTGTTAAAAAATACTGAAATAAAAAATTTAAATTGTTTTGAATTAAATATGCAAAAACAGACATGTTATAAAATCTAAGATAAGTAGAAAGATAAAAAAAAACTTCCGTAAGATACAAAAAAAAATCCTGAAATTTAATAGCAAAAGCTTAATGTTATCTTTTGGAAAAACGTCCATGCCGATAACTTTAAAATTCTACTTATGACCAGTTAATAGTAGAGATGGTAGTTTTTAAGTTTTTACTATTTTACGTTTACTAATACTTTTTTGCGTTTAGTTCTAAAGCTAAAAGCTATTGAAATGTAGCTTTTTCATACAGTTATCATTCGAAATAGCAAAGTAATGAGTATTCGCATGGAGGTTTATATTGTTGCCACGTAGCGGGCCACTCCGACTGGGCTGGAATAGAGGGAGAGGGGCGTTGGTTGAGTGGGATTTCGTGGGCATGCGAAGGGGTGTATCATACTCAGGTAGGAGGTATATGGTTGATTTTGATTTGAGTTGCTTGAATTTTTACAAATTTATTTAATTTACTAAATTTATTATGCACTTGAATTTGTTGTTGTTGTAGCGGCTACCTAGCCCTGCCTATATCGGCTTGTCTTTCAATCGTTGTCGTCAGGCTCAACTAATAGGAGACCCAGGAAGTGTGCCACTCCAACTGGGTCTATAGGAAGAGAGGCGTTCTGCCTCTTCGGATGCGGTGCACTCATTGGGCATATCTGCATTTATTTATCCTACCCAGGTAGAAGTTTAACCTGCTGCAGTAGCCAGAGCGAAGTTGGACTATGGTGGTGCGAGTCTTCCGAGGCACAGGACGAAGCTCTGCGGCAATCAGAGATCTGTTCGAGTGCCCTTGTCTGCGGCATGCTACTAAGAACTGCTTACAAAGCATCGTGTTGTGCTTCTTGACAGGGAGCATTTGAGCCACGCCATGTAGGTGGGGCTGTAGCTTCGTCCACTGCGTCCTGCTGGTCCCCCGATGACCACACGGGCCTGCCAGTTGCCATGTGTCTTTATATTTGAGCACCTTACAGCCGCTCTGTACCCTACTGCGGTTGTATGCGCCGAGAAGGAGTGCAGACTATCGATGTTTACTTCGGCTTATTCCCCGTCGGAATTGGTTTACCATAGACATGAATTCCCCGCTGTAGTCTGATCTCCTTCGTCCAGGTGGTAAAAAAAGGTTGCCGAAAATTTCGTAAATAAGAGGGTTAAGCTCCTTGCAGTGAAGAAGCGAGAAATTTTGGAGAGGTAACCGTTTACTTTCGAACAGATCCCATACTTCAGCATAAGAGATAATAGAGACTCCCTCCGGTGATTGAGGAAGCTTTGAGATATAATAATTAAACAGAAGTGAGGAAAGGACACACCCTTTAGGACTCTGTTTAATTTTCCTTGACGAATGTCGACCTTTCAGATAATTCGCTGACCACCGTTTGAGTTCCTGCGGGCAAGAAGGAGCCTCAATGCCTCCTAGTACCATGGAGATGTTGACGGTGTCAAACGCCTTTGACAGATTCAATGCTAGTAGCACTGTTCTGTCATAGGGGCGGTTTCGGTTCAGGCCGCGAGTTTCTGGGTCTTTATGGCATTAACTCCTGTTGTTGCAATCTGTACTTTACGGAATCCCTGCTGATGCCTCGCTGGGGTCAGAAGATAAGTCTTCCTTTTGTTGGCCGGTATGACAATTCTCCCCGCCTTTCAAATATCAGGAGCGACGACCACGGATAGATTGTGATAATCTTCTCCCGCAGGGCCCAATTTTTTCAGCATCAGCATGCACATTCTGTCGTGCTTTATCCATCGAAGGATGCAGCGTGAACTGTCGGCTAAAATAGCTCTTGCATCGCTCATGAGACGCTCCTCCCACTTCTTCCGTTTATGGTACTTTAATAGTTGCTGAATTCCGTGTTGAGATCCCCAATGCGGGGATTTTCGCGATCGACCTGGCGCAGGTTGTCACGCTCATCAGCTGGAAAGTTCGGAAAGGTGTCCGAAATGCATGCAGCGGAAATGAATCGGGCAGATTTATCGATCGAGATGACTATGGGAAGATGGTCTGATGCTAGAGTCGGCATAGGTCGCCACGTTATGCTGTTTATCAGACCAGCGCTTACAATTGTTAAGTCAGGCGAGCTATTGCAGCTGCCCATATCCTGGTGGGTGCGTCGTCGTTCATCGTGCAGAATGTCGAATTATTTATCTGCTCTGCCAAGTGTATTCGCCAATGATCATTCGACTGAATTGAATGCCAAAGATATCGTGGTGCGCGTTGAAGTCATCAACTATCAGTCGGTTTTCACTTTTGAGGGGCGCACCTATATTAGGGTAATATCCTGCCGGGAAGCTAGTGTCAGGGGTGTATATGTACTCTGACATTCTGGGATGGTACCCCTGCTAAGCCACCACCATTATCTCGCTGGCGATCTCCACGCAGCTCCACAATGTTGAGTTGCTATGCAACTTCGTCTGTTGGAGAGCAGCTTTCAATATTCCATGTCGACCCATGAAAACGGTTATTTCCTCAATCTCGCTCTGTAGTCTGTTACAGTTAAACTGTAGTATCTTTATTTGCCTTAGGAGACTAATAGGAGTGTAAGTTATTTGTGGTGATGTCTGCCGGCCATTTGTTGTATGTGATTCCATTTGGGGGTTGCTGCTTTGTGGGGGTACGAAGTTGCTCGTCCATTTTCGCGTGGTGCGCAGTTCTGAACTTTACGGTATATCCCGAACTGACACGGCGAGTATATTGTGCGAGGAACTAGGAGCTGTTGGTGGTGGCGTGTAGGTGGGGGTATGGTTGTGTCTGGGCTATGGCTGTGTTGTTTTTTTTTGTGGTCGTGTTGCGCATGTATTGCTCAGATGAACTCTGGTGTGCATTCGGTTTAAACAACATGGGGTCACAAATGCCGAGGTCCACTTCCAGTGAGTTCTAAGCTCAGAGAAGGTTCTAAGGTGAATCCACCCATTTCAGGTATTGCACCTGATTGAGGTGGAGTTTGGGTGCAATCGTCTCTGGCATACGCAGGAGGTGAAGGTTTCCAGTCCAGGTTACCGGTCCAGGATTTGACTCGATGCCAGCTCTGAGCAGAAGAATGCGTAGAAGATATTGCCAAATGGACAAACAACGTTTAAAAGATTTTGCCGACCTAAACAGGGTTTGATTGCCGAAATGCACTTGAAGTATTTTCCTTTGATGCTTTCACACTCTGATCTCGCCCCCATTCAGCCGGATGTTTCCACTTACGATGTGCATGTAAATTGGAAGCGCATTTAAAGGGCTTATCACAATAGTTGCAGTGGTATAGATACTCGCCCGTATGGGTTGCCATGTGCTCCTATGAAGTTTGAAGAAAAATTAAACCTTTTAAAAATTAAAATCCTTTTAAAATCCCCTCACCCTCAGTCGCCTTGCAGTTTTGAAAATTCGCGCGCATATACTGCAAGCATGCTGGCGCTGCTGCTGCTGACTCCCATGGCACAAGCGCTTGTGGGCATTTAATGTAACGCGCGTGGGCATTTCCTTACCACACAGATCACACGCGTTGACGTCTTCATGTTTACGCACATGTCGCTGCAGAAAGCGCACCTTAGCAAATCGCACGCCACAAGTCGTGCACTGAAGTGGTGACTCTGCGGGCTTCTGATGCTTCAAAAGTAGATGATTGCGCAGACATAGCCGATCTGCGAAGTGCGAGCCGCAGCTGGAACAGCTGTAATTCAAGCTATTTTGTTTGTAATTTTATAGCTTGTAGCCAATACTTACGAAAAGTAAGCGGCATTGCGGTGCACATTTATGTGATCTATTAAAATTCCAAGCTTATACAGCCGCTTTCCACAGCAAACTACATAACCGTTGCTATTATGTATCGCCTTGAAATGATCTTTCAATGCTTTAAAGTTGTCTGCCTCGAATTTGCACAGCTCGCAGAAGAGCTGCATGTGACTAGCAATCAATTGGTCATCTGCTGCTTGACTTGCGGCATCTGATGAGTAAAAAAAAATTAAAACTCGTATACGAAATTCCTAAACGTACATAAATACGCACCGCTTCGTCGTGGGCGTCCCAGTTTTCGTGTGCTGAGCGAAATTGAATGGTTTTCTTCATTGGCTAATTTCTTAACGCACCTTTGCGGCGATTCTGTTTGATTGGAAATCGCTTCTGCTTGTATTTTATTTGATGTTGTGTTTGTTTCATTATTCTGTAATAAGAGCAATTCCACTCTATCATTCCTATCTTGCTTGTGCTGCAAATAAAATTCCTCTGAGCACATTTCTTGTTCCTCCATGGCCAGGCATTCCACTGAAGTAGCAATATTGGCATCTGCTTCAGAACATATTGGCTTCTCTGGTATTGCTGCTACGTAAGTTCCCCTTTCTCCAGCGGTGACATCCATACAATCAAAATCATACTCTGACTTCCTAGGCGTCTTCAGATTTATACCGTCATTTTCCCTCCGGTATCTCTGCTCACTCACTATGCTACTGTTCGCACTTCCTATGGCTTCAGATTCATTTGTCCGCTCTAGATTTGCATTTAATGACTCCAAGCAGGCTTTCGCATCTTTTTTCGTTGCTGTTACTCCCTCAGCACTTTCAAATATGTCTTCTTCCTGTGTGACCAATTCCCTGCTCCATGCATATTGCGATTGCCTTTCGGCCACCAACAAACAAAACTTTCTGAAGCTATCTACGCTAGACCAGCAGCTGACGCAAATGCAATCTTCACTAGTAAGCTAAAAGTGGATTTTTGAATAAGAAATAGTATTCTAATCAGCAGTGAATATCTGCCACTCACCTCCACCCGAGTATATTTCTCCACTGTGCTTAAAATATCAGTGGAAACATTGCCACTTTCATCACGCAACGGAATGAGGATTTGCGCTTGAAATAAACACAAGCGGCAATACATTTTTGAGCACAATAACTTAACAAACAACCTCACAAGATGACAATAAATCGCTATAAAATAAACCGGCTATTCGTTTGCTTGTCAGCTGTGCCGTGCAACCCTACCGATCCTTCAGCAGCTGTTCCATGCCGTCTGGTATGCAAATAAACAATAAACAGCTGTTAAGTGAGCAACGCAGCAGGAGCAGCAGTTCTTAGGATGTTCCGCAATATCGTGATTGGCATATCCGGTGGCGTCGATAGCGCCATTTCGGCGCTTTTACTAAAACAAAGAGGTTGGTTTGCAGCTAATGACCGCAAATTTCTTATGTTTTACTAGTATCTAGTTTTAAAATTTATGAAAAAGGCTACAATGTGTTGGGCGTATTTATGAAAAACTGGGATGAATTTGATGAACTGGGCGCTTGCAGCGGTGAGCAGGATTACCGTGATGCGGAATACACCTGCCAAAAGTTGGGCATTGAACTGCGTGTCGTAAATTATGTAAAAGACTATTGGAATTCGGTGTTCAGGTGAGACAGTTGCGCAACTCGATAAATTTCAGTTGTTATCCAAGTACCCTCTTTGTATCACAATAGCTCTTTTCTGGATGATTATCAAAATGGTCTGACCCCAAATCCGGATATACTTTGTAATAAATACATCAAATTTGATTTATTCTACAAGTATGCCAGGGAGCAACTAAAATGCGATGCCATTGCTACTGGTCATTATGCGAAAACAAGTTTTGGCAACTTTTTAGAGCAATATAATGCGAATGATGGTATGTTAAAGCAGCAAATGCGTTACAAGCGCACGTAAATTCACTGATTTCTCAAATTAATAGGCGTGCATCTCCTTATACCTTGTGATAAATTCAAAGATCAAACTTTTTTCCTCTCCGGCATACAACGACATGCGCTCAGTCGCACCATGTTTCCGCTGGGCGATTCACTGAAAAGCGATGTGAAAGCTTTGGCGATTAAGTGTGGGCTGGCACGCTTGGCGCGCAAGAAGGAGAGTACCGGTATTTGTTTTGTGGGAAATCGTGATTTTAAGGAGTTCATAAAGGAGGTAATTGGGTGACTCGCAGTTAATTTTTTCTAATATAATATAAAAAAAAAATCTCGTAGTATATACACCCACGCCCTGGTCATTTCGTAGACATCGATACCGGCCAAATTGTGGGCACACACAATGGCATACATGAGTGGACCATTGGACAACGTTGTCGTTTGGCCTCTTGCCTGCGACCCTACTTTGTGGCACAAAAAGACGTGGCCAGTAATACTATTTATGTGGCTTCGGGACACGAGCATCCAGCGCTGCTTAACGATGTTATTTGCGCGAGCGCGCCGAACTGGCTGTGCGATGATCCACTAAATGTTGTTGGAGAAGCAGCTAATGCCAGTGTGACACGTGAGCTACGTTGTCGTTTTCGCTTTCAACACACAAAACCGTTGGTGGATTGTGTGGTCAAAAAGTGCGCCAATAATAAGGCCCGCGTGACAATCACTTTAGATAAGCCATTACGAGCGCTTACGCCGGGTCAATACGCAGTGTTTTATAGTGAAACGGTTTGCTTGGGTTCGGCGCGTATAATTAGTGCGTGGAGGGGGGAAAGAGATGTAGCTCAATTGGCAGAGTTGCATGTAAAAACTGAACTGTTGGAACATAGTTGACGATTAGATTTAAGTTAGAATAAGTATTACCAGTTCTTAACCAAGTGGGTTATATTTTTCCAAAAAATTTTTCATTTGTTAAACCATCATGAAATTAATAAAATTGTAGTTTAAAAAACTAAAACCTCGCTATTATAATATCCATTCGTACAGTCATCAGGTATGTAAATTGAGAATAGAAAGCGCTGCATCTTTTAGGCGCATCAATATTACATAGCTACATCCCGAGCTAATAAAAGGGAGGTAATAAAAAGCTTTGTGTTTGTCTGTACTGGAAATTAGTCCTTTTAATATCATATCAGTTAGCTACATTAATGGGCTTGTTTGCGTTATTATATTATGGAAATTTTAAAGACCGTTTGCTAACATATGTTAATATTTTGGTTTCATCTGTGTTCATTTTCGTCGTTCTCATTTCTCATTATTTAATTACAAAGTCAATGTTGCGCCTGGTGCTGACAAATATTACCAAATATATATATATCTAAAATTAACAATCTTATCAAGTCATAACGGTTAAATAATGCTTACATATCTTAAAATTAAAACATCTATATATATATAGCTTCAAATTTACGTAATTCCCTATAACTAATACTAACAGGCCAATTATTCATACTCCCGGGGAGTTTGTTCTCTGGGAATTTGTTTCCGTGACTTTAATATAAAAAATCCTCTGGGAATTTTTATTCATGAAAGGAGGAAAGGGAAAAGAGAGTAAAACTCCCGGGGAGTTTCGGTTCAAAGTCGGCCTGTAAATGATTTTTAATTAAGCCAAGAGCACAGTGAGCGCATCCAAAAACTTAGCCATATCATTTTGCCTTATCTGTATCAGCGATGTTTCGAAAAAATCTTGCAAAATCACTGCATTACATTTACTAGCTGCCTGCTCGAACGCCTTGCCGAAAAAATTTTTGGGCGAGTCTTCACGTACTGGCGGTATACCGACCAACAAACACAGTCCGCGCTCCACATCCACCGGACAACTAGCGATGAGCGGTAGCTCCGGTGCCTGTCGACTGCGTGACATTGCCACGTGACCATTCAAGATAAACTTTGCCAGCAAAATTAAACCATACGGATAGGAGAAGTATATATTTTCTTCATTTAAAATGTAATAGAAGAATGTGCCTGTTGAAAGCACCTGATGTGCCTCCAAGCTGCTTTGTACTTGTTTAAAAATGGACGAAAGTAATAGCTTGGCATTCTCAATGCCTTCCAGCATAATGTCACGATGACTACGTGATAAGCTATCTAAGGCTTCTAAGAAGCAATCCTCTGGCGTTTTATCCTTTTTCACTGATTCTAAGATCGCTAGCATGCCGTAGACATAATCTGCAGCTGCATACCGATTACGATAGCCATAATTCAATGTAAAAGAGCCATACACTATGTCCGGAATGCCATACTTTTCGGCCAGCTTCTCCAACATTTTGTAGAACTCGTGCCTCAGCACCAAGTCCATTGAGCCGAACACCTGCCTCGCTTGTACCAGCGGCAGTCCCATTTCAACAAGCAACTCATGTAAACGCTTCTCACCACGCAATGTCCATAATCTCAACTTGCATGCGCAATACATCGAGTAGCTAGAAGAAAAGAATAATTTGCGATTTCCAAAAAGAAAATACAATAAAAATTGTTTCACGTACCGCATCGACTCCACCACGCTCCAGTGGCGATATAACACCAAATGCAGATCATTTTCAAAATTGATCTTGGCCGCGCTCATATTGCTTTGATCATTGGTTTTGTTAGTCAAACGCGACACATGCGACTGCACATTTTCAATTTCGAGCGTATAAGTGCTACTCTCGATTTTGCCTAAAATTAGTTGCTCGGTAAGGCCCACAATGGACCACCACAACAAATCCATATTATCCTTAGACAACTTCCATGCCAATTCGAATATGGTTACAGCTGTGGAACGGCCATAGTAACTGTATTGCGTGTATTCGAACATGATGCGATCGCGTTCATTCTCCCATGTGCGGCGTTGCCGTTGCTTCATAACACGCTGCTCATGGCGCTCAAGGCGTGTCAGTTTCTGCGCAGGTGGCTTGTCAACTTTCTCGCTATCTTCATCATCGGAACCGCCAGCGCCGCTATCGTTGCCATCACCATCGTCTTCTGGCTCACTGTCCGAGTCATCATCAGACTCACAAAAAATAGACTCGAATGCAGGTATATTCTCTTCCAAAGCGGGATCGCCCAAGATGCATACCTACGGGGGACAAACGTATTTTCCTACAATATCAAAGTTAAAAATCGAACATTTCGAAACTTACCTGTCGATCACTGTAAATATTACACACATCTAAAGGACGGTGCGCATCACAAATGAAAAACGTTACATCCTCTTCGGGTTGCAGCAATTCGACGATGTCCACGCAACCGCCACAATTAACAAGCAATACAAATTTTACATCGCCCTGGTGTTCATTGTAGGCGCGTTGCAGGCCAGCCAAGCCCATTATGGGCACTACCGAATACAGCATGTGGTCATACTTGAAGAGGGACTGCAGAATCTTGCTAGCGCATATCGCATCTATATCATAGTTTACAATTATAAGAAGGCGCTTGCCCACTAGTCGATTGTAGAATTCTTGCCTAAGGTCTTGTATAAACATTGCGAATAGTTTTATTTGTGTACACTATCTCGTATTTTTTTATATTAAAATCTGTTGTGCTTTGCCAGCTGCTCGCGATCAGCACTTTGGGCACAACATAATGCGCCGATTTAAGCCTTTATCTGCTTGCATTTGAGTGTTCCTCCAAATTTGTTGCCTAATTGGATATTAATATGTAGTTTAAATGTATTATTTTCTTTAAATCGTTGCATTAACACAAAAAATGAAGTGTACAAAATCTTTGCTGATCGTCCTGTTCACTTTTCCATGTTGTTTTAAAAAGCGGGAAATTTTTATTCGTGGGGTGTGTTCAGTGCGTATAAGTGGTTGAGCAGAGTTGCTTCGTGAGAAGTCGAATTGTGCAAAAACAAAATAAAAAACTAGCCAAAAAAGGAAAGCGTTAAAATAAAAATTACAAATATAACAGAAAACTTAAATGATTGCGGTGATTCGACACTTTCATGATGTCAACTCAAACTTTTGCAACAAAAGCACATAGCGATATCACCATCCGCTATATGACGGCCGATAGATTTACTCCAATCCAAAAATCTTGACGCATTTTCACTAAAATCTTCGGAAGTCGTTTCTGGCTACTTCTCTTATTTCAGGAACTAACACTTAGAGCTTTTGATCTCCCTTCAGCCTTATCGGAAATTTTAATCGCTTGCAATTATTGGTTTTGTTTCTATTGCTTTATTTTTTTAATTTTTAACTTCCAATTTTTAAAGTATTAGAGCTGATATTCGCTTAATTCTAATAGGTATACATGTCACATTGTTAGTATTAAAACCTATTACTAAATTCTATTTGAAGAACCTCTAATTTTAAACAAATTAATTTCGCCTCCCTTACTACAACTCCTCAAAGAAAGCCACACGTGCCTTGGTTGAGCCCGATTTCAATTTCTTCAACGTTGAGTATTTCGTTTCTCCCGCTTTGATGAGTGCATCACTTAGTATATCTAAATTACTTTGATTTTCTTCGATTTTCAACAGCTCAATTTGTGAACGCAACGTTTGTAATTGATTTTCCATTTGTTTGGATTTCTTCAAATATTCAAGTCGACTATTTGTGATCTGCTCCATTTCTGCATCGGTGAGTATGAACTCCTTTGTTTCGAAATCGTCGATAACATCGGATGAGGCGTCATTTGTATTGGCGGCAAGATTATGGTTTGATGTAGTCAGTTCAACACCGCCTGCCGTATCAATGTCTATGGTGGAGTTGCTGTTGGTCAACGAAGGTGTGCTGATGGCCGTGTTTGTAGCCGAAACGACCACATTATTCCCTGAGACGGCCACCAAGCTGTCGGTGGATGTTTTGCGACCATGATTGATGAAATTAAGTAGACGTGCGGTGGCTTCACGCTCTGCCAATTGTGCGCATTGCAGCTCCTTCTTCAATTTTTCCGCTTCTGCCTCACGCTTATCCTTTTCAAGCGTTAATTGGTGCACATAGAAGTCGGCATCGCGTATTTTCTTCTCCAAATCCATCTTTTCATGCTCGATCTTCATTTGTCGTTCACGTAGGCGATCCATCTCTGTTTTAAAGTGATGTGCTTTACATTCTGTCAATTGCATTTGTTCTTCATTCACGCGGCTCTTCTCAAAATAGAGTTCCTTGGTCTCTTCAGAACGCCGCTAATGGAATGTAGGTTTAAATGAATTAGGTTTTTACTTCGCAAATTGATTACAATTCATACTCACCAGCGCGTCACTAGCCATGCGCATTTCATTCTGCAAGTGCTCATAACGATTTTGCAGCTCGTAGCGATCACGTTCCGCCTTTTCGCGCAACTTTTTCTCACGCAGAAATTTTGCGCGCTCCTGTTGGCGCCGCTGCTTCTCTTCCTTTGCTTGCGCCTTCATTTGCTGTATCTCCATAGTGTCCGGTTTGCGGCGACGCATGTACAAGTCATGATTTCCCTTACACAAATCTAAAATCTGGAACAAAGTTGTATTCAGAAAACTACTGATTTTTAATTAAACTCAAAACTCACCATTTTGTTGATATGCAAATCTTGTGAGTAGAAAATAAAGTTCGATACTTTCGTGTCTACTAGCCGAATTGTAAATTTTTTATCATCAAAGCTCACATGTCTTATCTCATTCCATTGGAACGTTGTACGCGGCGAAAGCTTATTATTTTCTTCATAAATATTCAGGCCGATAGCGGTCACACCCAACCATAATTTGGTTTTATTTTTATTCTGTGAAAAGTAGAGAGATGTATTTGACATCATCTTAATTTCAAAACAGATAAGCTCGCCTTACAGTTATAGGAAAATAATTGACACCATACATATCTAGATCTTGTGCGATCTTCAAGTATTCCATTTCAACCTCATCACGTGTCATCGGCTCATGATCCATGTACCTAAAGATGAAGTGCCCTATTGAGTCAGGGTAATATTTAATGCACACAAAAAATCGTCTTACCAGGTCTTTATGCGTTCCTCCCACATTTCGGGCGTCATTTGATACTGGTCCGTCACCTTTTTTGGCAACAGATCTGCGCTCGCCAACATGCCATCTTTGTAAGTTTCATAATCGTATGGGCCATACTGAACGTGAACTGCATACGATGCCAGCAGTACCGATGCCTCCGGCCGACAATAAATATCCATTGACAGTATACTCTGCTTGACTTGTAGGAAAAACAAATGCTGCGTTATTTCTTGAATTAGCTCTTCGCTAACATTTTCCGGAAAGTACTTGGCATAGAAATTGAAAACGTAAAACCCATTCGATAGCAGTTGTATGCGCTGATCCTTTACTTTCTTGTCCATCTTCAGCCAGGAGACGTGCCCGCGTGCATCCACATACTGTAAGCCAAAGTACCATGACTCACGCAAACCTATTGTGCGGCACACCAAATCAAACAGCTCTTGACCAGTCTCACGATGCCCCAAATTGAATTCTAATTCTGAATCGAAGGTTACCACCTTCACTGGTAATGAACGATTTTTCTTCGAACGAAATGGACTCATATTTGTGCAGACATTAGTGTATTATGTTTTTCTTTTGTTGTTGCTTTGCATTTGTTGGAACCTTGTTATTGTTTTGTTATTCTGCCAAAATTGGTGCCACACATTTATCCAAAAACAAAACAAAATAAAGCCATTTGGTTAAGATTTTTCACTAAAAATTCATCGCTTATATTGGCACTTGTTAAGGCACATTAAATCAGCTATTCGCCCGCTGTCCACCAGCCGTCAGACACTAATCACTTTTATGGTTTAATTATAGTTTGTATAATTTTCTTTTTATTATAAAAATTCATCTTTGTGTTACAGCGCGATCGCCAAATCTGCAAAATCAAAAATAAATTAAATGGAGAGTGAATGAGCGAACTGTCAAATAGCCCCAAATCGAAGCAACAATTTTTTGTTGCATGCATAAATGGAGCATAAAATAGAAGGCGCGCACTGAACGTACCGCTGTGTTTCAGGTGTTCACAAACAAAAAGAATTTATTGTTTTTCAAGAGCATTTTTACAAACAATTAGTATTTGGCTTTTATAATAACTTAAGCTCTTTTAATTTAGGCTTACAATTCGCGTAATTAAGGCTAACCTCTATTGTGGCAATTTAAAGCCTTAAATGGGGTTTTATATACACTCATTTGTTATGCTTATGCAGGAGTTTATGTATGTATGTGTGAAGGTGTGTGCCCAAAAACCTTACACATTGATGGTAGGGTAGCCAAAAATAACTTAGGGACTAAGTACATTATTGCATATATATGCTGTCTTACATGGTATACTTAGTTATTATTAAATTAGAAAATATATGCCTGTTGCGTTAGCTTTTATAAGCTTGCCTTTATGCACTGGTCGTACTCATATGCGCATTCCGTTCCGATTGTAACCTTTTCTTGGATTCTCGCTTATCGCTTTACACAACACATCGCTTAAGCCGTTCAAAGTGCAATTCATACAACAACTTATTTTTAATATAATAGAATGGATTCTCAGCCTCGTTCAGCTCGGGTGCATAAGGATGCTGTAAATGCATCTGATGTTGATGCCCAGCAGCGGACATATCATGCTTATTATGCAAATGCATATTTAAAGCTCTGTTATTTATGTGATTACTGTTGTATGCCTGTGCCAAATCAACTTGTTTGGTGGGGTCATTAAAATGTAGTTGTTGTATTGCCTGCTGGGGCTCGTCCAAATTTGTCAAATGCAGCTGATTGATCCGTTTGGACAATGGCGTTGAATCACAGATGTCATCTTCGCGACTTCTTTTTCTGCACAAAAGAGAATATTTAGCTGATTTTCGCTGCATCGTTTAAGTTTAGTTACCTTTTGTCGATTAAACCTGACATTTTGATGAAATTTTTTATATTCTCTTGAAATATCCGTATTTACGTTTTCTTTTTTGTCGAATTGCGAAACGGCGTATAATGGTGAATGGCGATTGGTTGTGTTCAGTGCGAACAATTGTGCTACAAAGGCTGTGTGCCAATCGGTTACTTTTTTTTCCGTGGTGAGACGGTGGAAAATTTGCTATGCTGTAGTACACATAAACTGAATTTTGCTGTGCCAAATGTAAAGTAAAATTTTGACAGTTGAAAAACCAAAGAAACGCTCGTGCGAAAGCTCTATTTTTGTGGGGAAATCTTTAGCTTTTTGTACAACGATTTAGGGGTGGGGGCGGAGGGGAGGGGCGTGGCTCCCCAAAAACCCCCCGCCCCCCTAAACGAAGAAGGATGGACGCCGCTTTATGAAAAGTCACCCCTCGTCCCCTTCTTCCCCCTAAAGACCCTTTGGGAGCTGTTTGAAAACAGCGGAAATTTGGATTTTTTCCAAAACGATTATAACCCTCACTACTCCTTTCTCTGTTGCCCAAGAAGAGGGGCTGAACACCTTTTGCAGAGAGCACCTTTCTGTGTAGGCGGCCTTCGGCCGTACTTAGGGCTTATAACCCTCACAAAGTAGAATTCTCCTTTCTGTGTTGCCGAAGAAAAGGTGCTGAACAACTTTTGCAGAAAAAAACTTTCTGCGTAGGCGGCCTTCGGCTGCACTTAGGGATTATAACCCTAACTAAGTAGACTTCTCCTTTCCGTTTTGCTAAAGAAGAGGGGCTGAACACCTCTTGCAGAGATATTTCGTGGATATTTTTTTTTTGACAACTCAGCTCGGAAACTTGCGAAAAATACCATATTTCCAACCGACATTATTAATAAATTAGTGCACAGATATAGTAAATTTAATTTTTGTAATATTTGCAAGAAGTAACGTACGCTTTTTTATGCTGTTTCAGCTTTCATTTTCATGTTCACTCTTTATTACCGCCAAGCAATATTATGTGTGTTATAAGCTGTCAGAATTTTACCTAATCCGTCAAAATTTCCTCTTTTCTATCATTTGGCACAGACTCTATGGTGTACACCAGGTGTACACCATGATACAAAAATTTGATTAAAATATTTGTACCATGGGTGTGCCAAATGCAAAGTACAATTTTGACAGTTGAAAACCCAAAACGTAGTGTCTCTGAGGTGGTTTAGATCCGATCATTGGATCATGAAGAAATTAACGGTTCTCCTAAATTTTACATGAGCTAGGTAAAATTCTGACGTTCGTATTCACCACGATAAAGGTCAAATTTTTAGTTCAGTTAGCGCATTTCACCACTTCTTGCTCCTAGTTAATAACCGATTCAAGGCTATTTTTATTATTTAGCTGAACCAGACGACAACGTAGATGGATGAGCCGACTCGAGCGGGGTTTAGTAGCCGCTACAACAACAACAACGACCGACCTGCTTTGGAGTGACAATTTATTTAGTCTAGTTTTTAAAATTACAGGAGGGCACTACCTACGTCCATTTTACTTCAAACATCAAATATTTTGCAAAAAACATCTCATTTTATATACATGCGTATAATTATATGATGATACTACATTAACAATTAATGGCATAGTGTGTGTGACAGAACTTTGTTAACTATTTAAGCTTAGTATCCAGCTCTGAAAAAAGCTAAAACTCCATATAAAATTTAATTTGTTGAACCGGTTTGGGAGCATAATGCGTTAGCGGAAACGGCGTGAGGCATTTTTCTCACCACAGTCTTTATAAGGCCGAAAAAAGCGACCCTGTCATACAAATATGCCTTCAAAACGGTATGTCAAAATAAAATTTTTGTTGTAGAACAAAGAGGAAGACGTGAACAAGAAGTGAACGAAATAAATTATTTCAGGCCCAGCCCCAGTTTAAGATCTCCGATTTTAACAAAAATATGTAAGTAAATAACTAAAAATAATGCATTTTCAATATATAAAGGTGTAGATATTAAATTAATTTAAAAACTGCGTAAATTTTGTGCAAAATTTTAACGAAAATTGCAAAACAAAAGTCGAATAGAAAGAGAAAATTCTTGACGGTGCTGTGTGACACAGGGTGCAGAACGAGACGACGACGACGTACGAGCAAACGAACGATATATGGCAGAGGCGTTGGCGGTGGGAGAACGGCTGACGCGACTGAGAAGCAGCAGTCACAAGCAGCAAACACACGAACTTATGTGGCGTTCCCTACTTAATGGCCTAGTGGGACCAACTCAGCTGCATTCTATGAGATATGAAAAGTTTATAATGTCAACGGAGGCGTCAAAAAAAGACACAAGTTGCGATTTATGTAGTTGTTGCAATACCAAAAAATGTATTGTCTTATTTTTCTGGATTTCATGATACATATGTACATATGTATGTGTAAACGGAATTCCTTACCAAATTCCAAAAACGAGTTTTGGCTTGCTGCACAAAATCAATTAAATAAAAATAAAACAAATTGCACCAATGCAGCAGCGCTGTTGACTTCGCTTTACGCGTCATATATTTTCACCGCCGCCTTTGGAAGTTCGTTGCTGCATGCTGCCGCTGTGGTCGCTGCGTAAGAAGTTGGGGGAAATAAAATCCATGCAACGTACATATGTTTCTGAACAGCAGCGAGTCAGCATAGAAGCGCACGAAAACGAATGCTACACGAACTTTTTGCTTATCAATATTCAATGGTGATGTTGTGAGTCATACATAGTTCTCCAGAAGAGACAGTCTGGAACAGCGCTGCCCAATACTTCGCAGCAGCGAGACGATGTTGCTCGCGTTATAGATATGTATGTTTACACATATATATAAGCGCAAGCACTCACGCGCCCATACAAACATACTACTTTGGATGTGAGCAGACTGCAGACCGCACGATCATCAATATGTACATAAATATGATACGACTAATGAACATAGGGGAAGGGGGATACGCTGGTTACCATAAACTGAAATAAGAATGTTTAGCTTACAGATAAATTTGGGCAGCCGTTTAATATCTACACACTCAGCCGCTAATACGAGTGTCACAAGGCAATGTTCGATGATGTTAATGCACAAGAAATTATTTGCATAAATTATTATTAATACCTAGGCACTCCCGAGTGGCGCAGCAAGGCAGAGGAGAAAAGAAAACACAAGAATGATTTTTGATATTAAACGGCGAACCATGGAATGAAGGAAATGGCAATTGGTAGTGTGAGCCACTACAACGTTATCATCAATTGTGTTGACTGCTTGATGGTTAATTCTATATAATATACTGACATTGATACCTACCTACTCTGGATGATTTCTAATGCCACTTAAATGAAAGCAAAGCACTCGATGGCTGAGTGGAAGATCGACCTATCTCGGCAGTCGGCAATGGTCTATTGCAGAATTTGGTTGAAGAACGCCCTATTTTAGAATTAGGTTAAAAAACGCTCTATCTCAGAATTCGGTCCAAAAACGGCCTATATCAGTACATTTTCATTAGATAGGGCGTTTTTGAATCGGCAGCTGAGATAGGACGTTTTTGAACCGAATTCTGAAATAGGGCGTTTTCAATCAAATTCTGAAGTAGGGCGTTCTTGAAAAGTTTTCTGAGTTAGGGTGTTTTCGAACTGGGAATATTATGGAATAAAATATGAGTGATAAACTTTCGCGATTAACAGGTTTACAGCGTGGCGACGAATAACTGTTACCCCGTTTTTTTTTGTTTTTTGAGAAATAAAAGGTTCCTTTATAAATTTTGCGAAAAAAAATATTTTATTGTTAATTTTACACAGATTTTACTTTAGTTGTATTAATTAGTTTTTAAATTTTAATCCTTATTTACATTTGCTAGCAGTGTAAACTTTGAGAGAAAAGTTCATTTGGCACGCAGGTCTTCGTCAGTTAATTTATTCCATATCTTCTGTAACCATATGCAAATTTTCTCCATTTTGAGTCCCTTATACTCCCCCTTTTGTCCAACATAAGGCCTCATAATTAAAAATCGAATAGACTCGGAACTGATGACTAGGACGGTCATTCATTCGACCAACCTTATACAGTTTTTTTCTTTTTTGTATATTTTTGTACAAAGCCTAAGAAAAAATACACCTGAAAAAGACTTGCGTGCCAAATGAATGCACTGTAATTTTACGTCTACTCTCAAATATTAAAAATGCAAACAATCATGTGAAACAAATGGAAACTTAAATCCCAAAATTAACTTATTTATATAAATCGAATTCTCACAATTCTATAGAACAATTTCATTTTTATTGCAGTAGCCATTTAGTCGACAACTATGCAGACCATTAAATGTGTTGTCGTCGGCGATGGTGCCGTGGGTAAGACTTGTCTACTCATCTCCTATACGACCAATAAATTCCCGTCGGAGTATGTACCCACCGTTTTCGATAACTACGCCGTAACAGTGATGATTGGCGGTGAGCCCTATACTCTCGGACTCTTCGATACGGCAGGTCAGGAGGATTACGATCGTCTACGTCCGCTGTCCTATCCACAAACAGACGTTTTTCTTGTCTGCTTTTCAGTGGTTAGTCCCAGTTCATTTGAGAATGTGAAAGAGAAGGTAAGTAGTTTGGAATGCGTAATGCAATGAGCGTGCAGTATGTATTTATGTTTTTATATACATACGTGTATGCAGTGGGTACCGGAAATCACGCATCATTGTCAGAAGACACCCTTCCTCTTGGTTGGCACACAAATTGATTTGCGCGATGAGAGCAGCACTTTGGAGAAATTGGCCAAAAATAAACAGAAACCTATTACTATGGAGCAGGGCGAGAAGCTGGCCAAGGAATTGAAAGCAGTCAAATATGTGGAATGCTCCGCTTTAACACAGGTGAGTTGAATGCATAAATTATTTGGAGGTAAAATATTTCAATAAATTTTTTAAACATTTACAGAAAGGTTTAAAGAACGTTTTCGATGAGGCCATCTTAGCAGCTTTGGAGCCACCAGAGCCATCCAAGAAAAGGAAGTGCAAATTCTTATAATTTTATGTATTTATTTATTAAATTGCATTAAAAGCAACCACAATTACAACAAAACAGATTGCAAGCGCAGATAATTTCATTCTATGCCCCGAAAAAAGATTTTTTTTTTAATTTGTCGAGTCAACGTTTGATATTGAACGCAGTAAACGGTTATGCACTGTGGTGAATATGGCGAAATCGCCAACATATACAATAACAAAAAAATAATTTGTTAGCTCCGAGGAAAAATTTAATTGAACTGGGAAGGAAAGGGTTTGTCTATATTGTAAAAGTCGGCAATGTGAACACATGAAAAAACACACTCACACGTAAAATTAGCAATAAATAACTTTCTACTAAAAAATCAACAATAATAAATTATTAAAGTATTGTATTGTACGATTCATGCGTTCGTTGCGCAATTTTTCAACTACAGAATGAAATATACAAACAATGAAACAAAAATCATAAAATCAAAATAATTTGTATGTATTGCTACAAATGCAACAGTTAATGCAGCGAAATTTATTAAAGCAAAAAATCAGCAGCGGCATACTGCAAGTTACTCCAATTATTCAACTTAAATTCAATAATTTAAGCAATGGAGAATGGAACAACATACACACACACACACAAAAGATAAGCGTTAAAAAAATAATAATAAAAAGTAACCACAAAAATACTTACAATAAATATTAAACAAAAAATGATTCTAGTTCGGCATTAAAAAATGAACTAATGATGCATTTTTAATATTTTTATATATATACATTATCAATTTTTACATTACTTTAGTTATAGAAATTATAATTATTGATTTCAGATATTAAATAAAGATTGTAACAATAAAATTACAAAAAAAAAGTGAATATGTTTTTACCAAGGTAAAACCTTGAGGGCTCGTTTTACATAACAAATACAACTTACAACTCTTATGTGAATTTTTTAACCATTTTGAAAACAACGGTGGAATCAAATACACATTTTATAGATATACATACATACGTATAACTTATACGTATGTATTTCCACCATGGAAGAGATTTTGAAATTCGGAAACCTTATGGAATTGCGCAAATAAGGCATTTCCATCAATTATAGTTAAGAAACAAAAGGGGCTTGATATATTTCCGAATGCAGCCATACTTGCGCATATACATAATGATAATATGTAAGATTGACGCTTACACATAAAACCTAAGCAAATACTTTTTTCTTAAAATTTCAGACCTTTTACTTAAGTTGTTCAAATAAATTTAAGTGAAAGGTATGAATTTTTTGGAAAAATCAATTGCTTTCTCTTACGCATACGGCTCAATATGTTAGTGTTTGGCCGAGCTTCTCCTCCGCTTCGTTTCGTGCGCCTTGATGTTGTCACTTAAAGGGGAGGGATTACAGTCTAACGCCCAGTCCGAAAAGCGATTTTATTTGATAGTGCGCACTGCTGACCAGTACACCACAGCGGCCGCATGTACATACATATGTACATAAAGTAGTCGAAGAAATAATATTAGCTTTATTTTGACCAGTTTTGGCTATATATTTATTTTGTTTATTGGATGTTTAATATTCTTCTATAAAAGTCTAGCGCATTCTATAATAACCAGTGCTTATTAAGCACCATATACATCCACATTTTAAACTTTGTACAAAATTTTTAAAAATTCATCAAATTTTACCAAAATCACCCAAAAATTTCAAACTTTATTCAGAAAATTTTGGGTATGTAGTTTTATAGCCCATTAAATTTTAATCCACAAGCATTTATATTCCCTGATCTGATTTTTGAGTTAGCTCACTTTAGATCTACACAGGTACATAGGTGTCCAAAATGTTCTTTGAATATGATAGACTATTAAATTATGCTTGACACGGCTTGAACTTCACCCCACGCTCGCCACTTAGACGCCTGCACCCATTTGCACTTAATATTCGCCTCCGCTACAGCGTCCAACATGCACTCGCCCAACGCCGCCTTTCCGCATATGTTCACCGCGTCATAGTCCCATCGCAAGCAATTCGCACCTTCCGTTATCTGCTCCAGGGCATTCCATGCAATCATAACACCATTGTCCGAGCAATATTTCTTTGATGGTCTGTAAGCTTGACACTCGTAATGTGCCGCCAAGTGTGCGAGATCGTTGAATATGTAGTCATTGTTGGCCACTCCACCTGACACAACCAGCGCTCGTGGCGACTCGCCGAACCAGGGTAGGGTGAATTCAAGTGCGCGTTGCGTGCGGTTCATCAAGTGGCGGCTGACTGCTGCCAGCAGACCGGCGCAGAAGTCGTGGTAATTTTTTATGATGCCGTCCGGTGGTATGCCTGTTGAAATGTGACGCAGCTTCTATGAAAATATCTAAACTAATTACATATATATGTATATTTCTCACCTTGCTGTTTCTCCGCGAAACGTATGCTGCGAAATGAATTATTCTTAATTCCCGCGAAACTAAAGTTGCAAGTACGTTCACGCGCCAGCGGCAGCGGAAACTCGAAGGCAGCTGGATTTTGCGCACTTTTCGCTGCATCTTCGATCGCTTGCCCGCCATTCCAATGTAGATATTTAGGTAGGAGATACAGGCGCAAACGGCGTGCTATCTTATCAAACGCTTCGCCGGGTGCATCGTCTAACGATTCTCCTAGCAGCGCAAATTGTTTAGCGCTACGCACGAAAACCAACTGGGAGTGACCACCGCTAATGAGTAGACATAGGAAGGGATATGGTATGTGCTGCTCCATGCGCGCTTGCAAAGCATGTGCTTCCATGTGATGCACTGGCACCAAGGGCTTTTTATATTTGCGTGCGATATACTTAGCAAAACGGGTGCCCACAAGCAAGCTGAGTGGAAGTCCTGCGTGAAGAAGTTGCGGTCAGTGTTCAGTATTTACAAATAGATAACGTGTAACGAACCCGGCCTTGTTGTCACACCAATAGCATCCAATTGATCGGGTGTCATTTGTGCCTCCCGCATGCACTGCTCAAATACTTCAGCGATCTTGGCGCGATGCAAGTCTTGCGCCCGCGGCGGTATGATACCCCCATATCTTGATCAAATTAGAGGATTAGGCAAGATTAACCCTTACTATTTTAAAAATCAATACAAACCAGACTTCGTCTTTCACTTTATCGGACATTCAAGGTATATTTTGTGAAGCAATGCACTCACCTGGTATGAAATTTTTGTTGCGAATTCAGCACATTACCCAGCACTTCGCCCTTTTCATTTAGCAATGCTATGCCAGTGTCATCACAAGAAGTTTCGATGCCAAGTACACTTAAATGGCGTGCTGTCGGAATATTAAATGTCCGATTTTTAAGAAGTTTTAACATTTTCCTCGGTAGCGATTATCATTTTTTTTATGCAACAGGGAAAACAAGTAAACACCGGCTCGGCTGTCACTTCCAAAAAGCAACAGTTCACAATAAGTACATCTGATAAGAGAAGTGTAAACAAAAAACAGCTGCTGATAAAGCCAATCAAAATCAAAAACAGAACGCCAAAGTAAAATGTGTATGTATTTTTATGAGGCTGAACTGCTATTTTTAATAACCATTTGAAAATCTATACAATTCGACACACAAACCCATTTGTCCAAATTTTTAGTTTGTATACATTTAAACAAGGCTTAATGTTCATAATAGATGCGATAGTATACTGTTTTCGACCGCCACATACTGAAGGTGTTGTCAAACCTTAGCAGATAAACTCCTTCGCCGGGATATTTATGAGACCCAACATAAACCTCATTTTGACAATCCCGCCGATACATGGGCACTATTATTGATACCGGTGGCTTGATAACACTATTTTGTGCCAGTACTTCGCGCTCATTACTAACTGAGCCAGCTTCCAAGTCATCGTTCATTGATACAAGTTCATCATCAATTAACTCTTCGTCTTCATCATTTTCGCTTTCTGTGCCCTGTACTATCACCTCATTTGTTGTTGGCTTTGACCACTCGAAAAATAGCCCAAACGCAATGTCGTAGTTATCAGTGGCAAACTCAAAGAATATACATTTGCCAACTGAGATTGTAGGCACACGTACCTGCAAGCGATTCAATGTTTTAAAAACTGTGAAAATATTTAAAATAAAATGGTTTACCGTCACAACGTCACCGTGACCGACAGTGATAACACCATCGCCTTCGCCGGCAGATACCTCAGCTTTAAATGCTTTAATATCTGGTCGCGTCCACATTCTTGCAGGCTCTATTATCAAGTAGTCGTCTTGGCTTAAATCGTCTTGTTGCTGCTCATCGCTGCTGTGGTGATCCAAAGCATTAAACAATTCATTTGCATTACCAGTAGCGGCGGTTGTATCCTTTGATAAAAGGTGCTGTGTACCACCATCAACGGACTCACTGTTGTTATTCTTTTTGTGCATATGTAGTTGCTGCATATACTGGTGATAGTGCTCCTCTTGCAACTGACGTATGAGCACACCTTGCTGCTCTGGATTGCCAGGAAACTGCTTTTCAGCATAACTCTGTAAAGAATATTGAAGTGCATTCCAACTTTCTCTCTACCGAGTGATTTAGCATACCTTGAATTGCTGGAATGTTTGCCTGTTTAACGCATCCTGTAGCTGGCGCCGCTGCATTTCTTCTCTGTAGCCTTCCTCGAGCAACTCTTTTTGCTCACGTTCCCTCTTCTCTTTCTCCAACTTTTCCTCTTCCATACGTCGTAGTTCTGCTTTTAAATTTTCATCGCGATTTTGCTTTACTGCTTCTGTGTATGGACGAAAAGCCGTACACATATTATCTAATAAATCTATGAATCCTTCCATTGCTTGCTCTCTGCTAATATCGCCCAAAAGCTGCCAGTGCATATGTCGATCACGGCCAATGACATCGAGCACACCCAACTCTGGCGCATGGCTCGCATCGAACGGACCCATTGTGGCTTGTTGCTTGAACGCAATTAACTTCAAATTATCCTCATATGAAAGATGTATTGCTTTGCCAGAATTTTCTACAATTAAAAACATAAACGTGTGAGCAGCTGTTCAAGAGGACGTTTTGTCGCACCATATTCCCAAACAATAGTGGTTGGTGTGTTGTGCTTATAGGGCTTCTGTAACGAGAGTCTACTTACGCTTATAGAAACTTAGCGCCAATCGATAAAGCTCTACCAAAGGGAATCCCCATTTCTCCAACGCAGCGATCTCTTGATTGTTGTCCATATTGTATTACTTAAATACTTTTTTATATTATCGTCTTTTTGGTATTTTTAATTATGCTGACATGATTTGGATATAATAGAAAAATAATTTGGCCTGCAGTGTAAGGTCGGTGTTATGCAGACAAACTTTTGTTTGCCAAATTAAATGGCGGCTACTTAGTTTGCTCGGAGGTGGTTATGTCGAGTTTGGCACAGGGTTGCACGTTCATTATGGTTTTCATGGCTATTGCCAACACGAAATGAGAATTTCAGATGTACATAACGCGCACAATTAATATATTTTTTATGATATCGTATAGGCAATTAACTGTGCCCTAATCTTTGTAGCTCCTACAGCATAAATTCAGTTCTCTGGCTTTCGGTATCACGGCAATTTTTGTGTATAGCAACAATTGTGTAAAATTTTTGTATATGACAACACCGAATTTGCTGCAGTTTGACCAAACAAAATTAGTTTGCTGTGAGAGTCGCCAACTCGCTCTCTCCGAGTTTGCTGCAACAACAATTGCACGCAGTTTGCCAAACAAAATTTCTGCATAACACCGACCTAACAAAAAAAAACCTGTTCAAAATAGTCAGCTAGTGACAGCGCGACAAGTAACAAAAAAATAAACAGGTATTCACAATGGTTCCGAAATAACCCAGTTCATTAAAAAGTAGTAGCTGCAAAAAAGTAATGGCAATAAATATAAAAGTCCTTTGCATCGTTTATAAACCTTTATAAATATAAATAGTATTTAAATTATTACCACACAAAAGATGGTTGGATTAATGTTCTGGCGCATCGAATATACTGGCTAAATCCGCAGCTGTCTGTAGACGTTTAGCACTGACAGCTATCGTTATGTCAGCATGGCAACTCATGCACAGGTGCTGTTTGCTCTGAGTTGTCCATTCATTCGTCATTCGCCGTTTCGACTTGTTGTGTTTTGTGTTGTTGCATGCTACTTGCTTGTAAATAACCAAAAGAGACGAAGAAGAAGACTTTGTGCTGCAATTCCAAGAATTTGAAAATTTCAGTAGAATCACTACAATTACGCGAAGAAAATTGCTTTAAAAGTGTATAAACTGATGAAAAACTAAAATGAAATGTTGATCCTTTGGATGTGTGAGCAAAATGAAGTGAAAATTTGCTAAATATTATTAGCGTAAAGCAACAAAATTCGATTTCCCAGAAAGGTCAATTTCTACGAAAACGAATTTCCGAGAATTCGAATTGATCTGCGCTGCTGTACGTTGTGTTGTGTGTGTATGATCGTAGTGGAAGGACGCAGTGTAGATCACATACACAAGTGAAACTAAAAAGGGGGAAGTGTGTATTCGTAGTGCAAGTGCAAGAAGGCGCTGCATTTTTCCCCGAATTGGACTAATCGCTGGCTCTGCAATAAAACAGCAGAAGTAATTTGGTTGCTTTTGTATATCATATGAAATATTTGTACAATATATGCAACATGATGATTGCATTATTTCGATGCATTAGTACTGCAGCCGTTGGACTGTTGTGGTTAGCGCTATGCGCTGCAGCCTATCGTGATGAATTTGTTGGTGAAACGATACCCGCAAACGTTGAAATGAATGTAGGTGACAGCGTTAATATATCCTGTCTAATCAATCCCACCATTTTTTCTGGGGAAAATCCTTGCGAAATGTACTTCATAAATGAGCTCACAAGGAAACGCGTACCTGATGAGGACATTCTCATAATGAACTCTACCTACATTGTTTATATGCTACGCAATGCACCCGAACAATCTTCAAGGCTCCTATGTAAATGTGATAGGGATGCGATCATGGAAACCTACGTCTACGTAGGTACCTCTCCACGGGGTGTATCACAGTTTAATTGTCGCAGTTATGATTTCGAATATATGGTTTGTAATTTTACACAACCAGAAAATCCGGTACTTACACAGTACAACCTCACCTACTACATCCACTCGCCAGATTACGAAACACCTGCCTATTGTAATTTTGACATGAAACCGCTGGTCGTTTGTAATATAACCGCAGAGCACTCTTATCGCCCACAAATCGAAGAGTATCACTTTAAGGTGCACAGCAGCAATGCCTTGGGCAGCATTAAGCAAGAGTTCACCATAAACAATTTGAACGTTATGGTGCCAGCAAAACCAGGGCAGGACTTCCGTATTCTTAAATTAACCACAGACAGCATGGAAGCCACATGGAGCATGCCAAAATACGACTCATACACACCAAACAAACACAGAGGACTACAATGGGAGGTGTTGCTGCAGCCTGATGGCTTTCCAGCACGCAACACTAGTGCGCAAGTGCGTGTGGTACGCGTTGAACGCGGTTGTAAACTATTTGTAAGTGAGCTCCCTTACGCCTACTATTGGTATGAGTTGAGGCTACGGGTGAAGGTGCGTAATGCCGCCGCTAGTGAAGATATGTGGAGTCCAACATTTAGGTATCGTTTCCGTACACAACCGCGATTGCCAGATCGGCCACCGCGTACTGATAATGGAGGTTTCTATGTCAATCCATTGGAAACCGAAGTGCGTCTCTATTGGGAGCAGTTGGAAAAGTGGGAGGAGAATGGTGATAATTTCACATATGTTATACGAGCTGAGGCAAAGCCGGCAAATGGGCGAGCAAGGCAAGTGCATACATACATAAATGAAATAAAATTTACTTATGAGACCTACATATTCAAATGCATTGAATGGATATTTACCAATAGTAGTTGAAGCAAAATTGCAAAAATGTATACAGACATAAATATCTTAAATTAAAATACAAGGTAAAAGTATACATATAGAAACAAGTAATGTTTAAGCAAAAAACAAAACCGACTTCAACTCTCATATAAAAATTTTAGAGTGTCGTTAATTCCTTAATGATCGGATCTGAATGAAATTATCTCCGAGGTACCACCTTTAAAAAAAAAAATATAGAAATCGGTCCTCTACTTGACAAAAAACCAGTTACCTAATTTTGTTTCATCACGGGAGATATGTACATATGTATGTATGTGTCTGAGTCTCCTGAGGGACCGAAAATGATTGAAAATACAAATCTAACAGTAAGCATAAACCACAGAGGAACAACAATGAAAGAAATAAAATAAAAGGAATGTAAACAAATGGCGCACCTACACATGAAAGCTTTGTTGTGCGAATTAATTTGTTGATTCAAGTGAATTCATTCACAAATGTGTTCTTATCAATACTCCTTAAAGGCGGACTTTTCTGATTTGTTAGATATAATCTATATACATACATACATACATATACATAAATATATGCACATATGTATGTATGTATGTAGCGGTTACTGCCTCCGAATTTTAGATAATGATAACATTTAAAAAAAGTTCAAAATTGACATCGAAAAAAGCTACCTTTTATTTTATATTGTATAGTATTCATGATAAATTAAAGTACAATTTGTATTTATGTATATACACGCAACAAATTCTTCAAATAAGATTTAAAAAAAATTTATGCAGATATGTGAGTCCTACGAGTAGGTCAATGGCACTATAATAAGTTTTCTAAGAATGAGTGTATGAATGCACCTATAATTATTTATTTTTACATAGTATACTAATGCAAAAAAGTATTGGTAAACCGTCTGCCGTGCCACTCAGTCTGTGCCTTCCCAAGAATTAATTGTTTAAAAAATTACGAAATACGCATGTACGTTTGTATGTACATATTGTACATACATACATACATGCATACAGTCAATCAATAAAGTTTGCGTACAGAGAGTTTTTTGCGATACGGTCAAGTTTTTTTTTAAATATTTTATTTTTCGCCAATTTTTTATAAAAATATGATTAATTCTACAGCAGAAAACAAAAAAATCAGTGCCAATACATGTGCGCTATTAAAAAAAATTTACTACATATGCAGTTTCTTAGACTTATCCTTGTCGCCTATTTTCTCCATATAAAAAAATTGTCGAACATACACAACGATTTTAAAGCAAAAAAAAAAAAACAAAAACGACTTCAATGACCACCTGTGAGGTACCACCTTTCCTTTAAAAAAAAAAAAAGAATTACAGAAATCGGTTAACGTAGTCCAAAGTTATGCTGTAACATATGTTTGTACACAAAAAAAAAAATAAAAAATATTCCGACGAAGTGATAACCTTCTGCTTTTTGTGAAGTCGGTTAAAAATGAGACACCTTCAACAAAAAAAAAAAAATGCAAAACATCAATGGTAAGTTTTATCCACCTCAAACTTGCACTTTATTATGCTAAAATTGTGTAATTGAAACATCCAATATTTTAATGAAAATTTTGGGCTTTTTGTTGTGGAATTAACCATATCTTTTACAAAAAATTTGCGAAAAATAAAATATTTGAAACAAAGTTTCCCATAATTACAAAAAACTCTCTGTACCTAAACTTTAGTGATTGACTGTATTTATAAAAGTTGATCATTAGCGTGTTCGCTTGGTATTCTCGTTGATGTTCGTCTGATGATGTATAAATACATTCATATGCATAATCGGTTTCTGTTTAAATTGGCTAATTACTTGCCTAAGGCACTTTTGCACATCAACGAATGCGATTTCTAGGGAGGCACCCAAGTTGCGAAGTAAAATTAAAAAAAAAAACAGTTGCTTGTGTAAACCAATTTCTGGGAGCCAAGAGGCATATACGCTGCTATATACATACATATATAGTATATTTCAGCCAAATTTTAAATATACATATTAGGTTTAAGAGGAAAATGATTTTCGCGAAATTGCAATTTGTTACCAAAGCACGATTTGCGGTTATTTTAAGTGTTAAAAATATTTTCTTTACAATAATAATTCAGTGTATTTTTTTTTTTAAGTTTCAACTTAGCAATTGTTAAAATTGCATTAAAATTTAGTAGTGCTGAATTTTTTTAAATTGCTAATCAAAAGTTTAAAGTAAAGTGTATTCGCAACGGTATTGAAGAGCAGTAACTTTTTTTTTTTTAATTTAAAAATTTGAATGCGAAAAATTTTAATCAAATCAGCTCACAGAACCGACTGTCAGTGGAAGAGAGTTGTTTTTAGTGCAAAACCATGTCACATACATACATAAAAGGTTATCTAGTGTCGCTGTTCTTGCGCATTTTCACAACTGTTGTTCTAATTTCGGTAACCACTTAGATTTGTATCCGGCGGCCTAGGACTCCCACTTTAGCAGCACTCCCCAAAGGCCATTTGGGGGAGGTTTTAGGCCTATTTAGAATGACAACTGCTTTTGGGAGTACTTGAATTCCGGTAATACAAACGATGTAAATCAGTCTGTCTTGAAGTCTTTCTATTGAAACAGGCTTCAGGCTAAGCCGCCGTCAATAATCAAAAATCACCTTGTGCTCAATTTGCAATTGAAATATTTTTTTTTTTTTAATCTCGCTATATTAAGTGATTCCGAGTATCGCTTGCGTCTTATCACTCAACTGCTGTTGAACTTTGCCGCTTGATGTTAATAAATACAACATGTTGCACTGTTGGCTGTTCGAAATTCAGCAAATCAAATATAATAAAAAAATATGCATCTCCTAGTAAGAAAAATTAATTAAATAATTTTTTCTATAAGTGTGCTTGATGCGTTTGTATGCATGTCGCTAAACTTAATGAATTCTCAGAATTACAAAAATTCAACATAAAGAAAAAAACTAAATTTTCACTGCCCTTACAAATTACAGAGCAATACTGCCACGCCAACAAGAAGCTAGCTTTGCTGTTTTCGAATGGCGTTATGACCTACACTACATATTCGATATCAGTAGTCGCAATCATTTGGGGGAATCCTCTGCATCGAGTCGCATAACAATATATCCACAAACGAGTCGTTCGGCTAGGCAGCATACACCAAAATCCATACATAATGTCTATCATCAGACAAATCGCTCATACACGCTCACCTGGCTGCCGCCGGTGGTGCGTGAGGACCTTCAGAGTTACACCGTGTATTGGTGTTATTCTAAGCTAGCTATGCCTACAGATTGCAGAGTAAGTACATACAGATACATTTGTATTAATTTTTGCCCCTTCTATTTACTATCAAATTTTTTCTTTCTCCCATACAGGGCTCTATACATTTTCGTCAGGTAAGTCGCGATACTCATCGTTTCGCCACAGAACCACAAGTGGCCGAGCACGATCACTCGCTCACATTGGCCGTTTCGGCTAATTACCACCAATATAACACCGGCATGCATTGGACTTCATGCAGCGTGGACGTGAATGCTGATTTCGAGCCAATGGAGCCGGAGGTGCAGTCAATTTCTGCTACGGAATTGCGCGTACAATGGAGTTCGAAAACTGTTTGTCCCTCTATTTTGAGTGGTTACAATCTAACCTACTGTGAAGTGGCGAATTCACCCGATACCGACAGTATTACACCGCCGAGTGTCGAAAGTGGTTTATTCGAATCTTATACCAGCGGCAGGACTGTATCTGCCGACAAGGCACCATGCCGTGGGCCAGCCACCACAATTACCATCGATAAGAACTGGAACAAGTGTAATATAACAGGATTGAAGCCATACACGTTGTATCGCTTGGAGATGTTTATGTTTTCGAACCTTAAGGTGGGCAAGCCGAATGAACCGCTTGTGGTGCGTACCTTTGAGTCGGCACCGACACCACCACGTCAGCTACACGTGTCAAATCTGACAGATACGAGCGCCAGGATCAGCTGGCTGCCTCCAAGTCAGACCAATGGTTATATACGACAGTATATTGTAAAATTGAATAACAGAGAGTTTGTTGTTAATGCTTCAGCTGACAATGTCAGTGAAATTAGTTATGTGTTGACGAATCTCACCAGCTACACGGCATATAAGGCATTTGTCATTGCGGTTACAAGATACAATTCGGATCACAGCAATGATATACATTTTACAACGTACATGAGCGGTAAGTTTAAGTCCGAAAATTTGAATGTGAGAAGACATTTTTATTTTAAGATACAAGTTTATGAAAATATGAATAGCAAGGTGTCAAAAACAGTGTTTTTACGAAAATGTAAGTTTTACAGTAAACATGTTTTTCGGAAAGATCGGGTGTAGCAGTTTTAAGACTAAAGTCAACTAAACGCAGATTTTATTGTAGATTTCGACGGAATATACCTCTACCCATGATACAAAAAAGAAGGTAGTTCCATTTAATGACATTCGTTGTTGTTGATATCAAATTCATGCTACCTGATCACTAAAATAAATATTTTTTTTTTAAGCAGAATATTTTTTGGTAGTGGACCATGCGGGCATTCTTGGTTCATTTCCTGACTAATTTGATATACAAACAAGTATTTTTAGGTGTCGGACATGTTTTGAAATTAACCAAAAACTAAAATTTTTTAGTATGGAGATTTTTTACTTTACTCCATACTTCCCGCAGTGCTTTTTATCTTTGCTTAGACCATGCGGCTTTCAATATGTTTCCAAGCCAAATACCAAATCGAAAATCGGCTGCATTTCAGCGGTGGAAAATGATTTGGAAAATCGCGGCTTTTCAGTTTTTACGGATTTTGAGCAACACATCCCCTAAATCTGAATACATATATATCTTAACGATCATAATTTCAACCAAGCGGCATCCAATTTATATATCAGTATTTACATAAATTTGAATTATATTTTATTTCTCCATCTATCTCTTTCCTTAGCGCCATCCCAATTAGGCAGCTCTAAATTTTTTGACCGGAACAATGGAGAAGTGGAGCTCAGTTGGACACCTCCGAAGTCAGCTGGTGGCCGCCTGGATTTTTACGAGGTTGCCGTTACACAGCTGCGCGGTAATCATGTGGAGCGTCGGCGCATTAGCGTTGTCTTTGGCACTCGGTGCATATTGCGTGCGCCCACTTGTCCTGATCTCGATTATCAAACCAAAGTGGATGTGCGCGCCATTAATGCCGGTGTTATTGCCAACAATGAAGTGAATCCAAGTGATATTGAAGCATTTGGAACTCCCGCTCAAAACGATGCTGAATTAAGCGACTATGATGGCACCGACGACCTGGTTTGTACGGGTCCTGGTGACAGAGCGAGCATTGAACGCCAGAAAGCGCAACTAAAGCGCTACCTTAACAACGATGAGTATTTGCTGTACAAATCCGAGTGGTTTCCGGGTACTAGCTTTGGTTGCTCGCCACGTTCGCTGGGTAGAATTACTGCTATGACATTGATGATTGTGTGCACTTCGATCTTGTTGATGGCGCTCATGTTCTTTGCTACGAAGAAATGGAAAATGATGAGTGATATACATTGCTCGCTACCCCCAGCCTTGGATGCCTACCTTACAAAGGAGTTGCATGGCAACGCAAATGGCTGCGGCGGTGCTACGACCAATGGGGATGTGCGTGGAATTTTCGTAAATGATTTCTTCATGTCGACAACGGTGCGCAATGGCAGCTTACCGCCACTACATGGCAGCCACGAACGGTTGCACAATGAGGAGCACCATTTGTTGGGTGCGCTCAAACACGATTCGGGCTTCATAGGTGATGGTCTACTATTCGGAAGGAGCGTTAGCGCTGTGGCTACATCAGTAGCGGCGGATAATGAAGGTAGCGAGGAGAGTTTAGCCTATCGTGGAAGGGAGTACTTGAACTCGGAAAGTTCGGCGGATTCACTGATTGGTAGTACAAATAGCAGCGGCGGAGGTTTTGGCGAAGGTGATGCGCAGGATGTGGGCGCAAATGCAGTGCCATTGAAACGTATTGCGGAGGAGCCTTCAGGTTATGTGCAACCGCCTCAGGTACAAGCTGCTGCCAAGGGCGGCTACGTAACGCCGACGGATTTGAACGCTTGGACACAGCCAAAAGCGACTGCTAAAGCAACAGCTGTCCCCATAGACCGAATAGGAGCAGCTTCTGGCAACGATGGCTATATTCAAGCTGAAGTTTTGGCAGCTGGCGGAAAGCAAACTAATTTGGAAACGCCCTCGAAAGTGCTGGCAACCGGAGCAACTGCTGCTTTCGGCGGTTATGTTACACCAAACGAACTGACGACGTGGTCACAACAAAATCGGCCTGTAGCTGCTGATGCTGTAGAAGCCAACGCTTTGCACCCAACTTGCTTTAGTGGTTACATAAAGCCCACAGATTTGAGCACCCCCGATGCATGGCCAGAACAGGCAATGGAAACGGGAGAAAATGCACAGGATAGCGGCATTAAAAGTGATTACATAAAAGTAAATGATTTGCGCGACACTAGCGCCACTGTTTGGCCACAGCAGCAGCAAGAACAGCAGCAGGTGGTTGCAGCGCCCGCGCTCAACAGTGGCTATGTAACAGTGGACAGTTTAACAGCTTTGGCGTCCAAGGCGACAACAGCTGCCACGCCAGTTATGACCAGCGTCAACAGCATTAATAAAATGCAGGCAACGCCACCGTCGACAGCTGCTCTCAGTCCATCCACTAGCGGTTACGTACATCCAAACACTTTACAAAAAATGCTATTCTCAGCTCCAACGCCGCCAACAGCAGGCGGAAAGGCCATCAATTCACCATTTGGCGATACAAATCTCAGCGGCTATACCACGCTAGACGCGCTGGGCAAATTAACACCTCCGCAAGGCGCGCGCACAATGAATTTGCCGGCTGACCAAACAGCAGGCGGCAAACCCGGCCTCATCGGCTATGTAACGCAGCGCGAAATGAACGAATTCGGACAGCAGCAGCAACAGCAAATTCAGTAGGAAAGGCAGGGAAGGAAGGAAAAAAAGGTGTGGAAAAATACCGAGTGCATTTCTTATAGATTCTACCGCGTAAATTACAAAAAAGATTAGAAGCGCGGGCAATGAATCGGTTTTTTTTTTGTTCTATGAATTGCTGAGCGATTTTGCTTCTGCCCTCAAACTTAACCCCCTGAATGCTGGATTTTCACTAATAAGTTTCTTTTTAAACTTAAAAAATACTAATTAATTTTTTACGAAGGCTTAATGCGTACGCGATAGTATTAATATATGACATGATTTATGATTTGTAATTTTTATTACTAAGATTTTTTCAATAATAGTTTTAGTGCTAGTTTTTAAACGACTTTAAATGCATTTGACTGTAATGACTTCGATAATATTATAAAATTTAATTTTATGATTTTATGTCGATATACAAACAAAAAGGGCCCTATCTTAAATGTTTGTGTCTTTACGGTGTAGTTACAAAATTTTATAAAGACTAAATTTTCAATTTTGAATTTCTTGAAATGCTGGGCTTTGACAAACACTGAAATTTATTTATTGATGTAGATGTTTTTAAATTCGAGTAATCTACAAGCAAAATTTCGAAAGAAAATTAGTTGGGGTCTTTCTATATTATGGTAACGATATGTATGTATGTACATTGGCGGTCAAAAATGGATGAATGGTGTTTCGTTATTAATATTTACAATGTTTTTCAAACTAAAATTTTTTTATAAAAATATGGTTCATGCTTTAACAAAAACTATATAAATCTTTCAAACTTTATACAGAACTTAGAAAAATTCCACAAATTTGTATCTCAATTTCGAGCTTTTGAACCAGAATTTTTAGAAATATTAAAAATCAATGCGATTTTTTAGCCGCTCAAAGCTGACACTTATTTTACTAGAATTTTATAAGCATGTTAACTGCATACCCAAAAAATTTCTAAAAATTCTGGTCAAAAAGCTCGAAATTTAGATACAAATTGGTGGAATTTTTTTTGTATAAAGTTTGAAAGTGTGATTTATATAGTTTTTGTTAAAGCAAATTTTAGATTGAAAAATATTGTAAATATTAAAAACGAAACAACATTCATCCATTTTTGACCGCCACTGTATGTAGGTAGGTACTACCTTGTTTGTATTATTTTTAGCTGATTTTTTTTTATTAAGTTCATAAGTTCCATGATGCGTAAATGTCTATGTTAGACCTAGCAAGTTCAAGACCTTTTGTGAAATCTTACAAACTCAAGAATTTTCAAAAGCGATTGCAGGAGCAGTTACACCTTGCATTTAAAGGAAATTTCGAAGGCAGTTTTTAGTCCCGCAAATCGAGCTTTCCGATACTATTTTTGGTCTGTTTATACAGTGAATGCAGAAAGTTAAATTTTTAACTAAGTATGTTTATAACAAAATTACTGACGTGATAAATTTGTTAACAAGGCTAAAATGCGCTCAAAACAGCCACAAAATGTCTAATTGGTTAATAATTAAGTAGTTCATATCGGGAGAATACATTAAATGCAGGTATTTTTTTATATGTGATGCAATATTTTTATAATTTTATACAAATTCTCAAAAATCACGTCACACGGCACCATTCAATTTAATTGAAAGTTAATACTGCAAAAAGGACTTTCTGACTGTTTACATGGGAAAGTAGACTTTCAATTTGGTATTTTGACAGCAAAATGACTGAAAAAGCGCTTACATTGCCACGTCTAAAAGCACTATTACATATCATTTGCCCTCTGCTGGAAAAAGTGTCACGCACAGTGGGTTGTGACAGCATCTGCAGCTTTAGTTTGAAATGCCTTTTTGGTAACTAAAAACTTCGATTTTTTAGCAAAATTTTACATAAGCTTCTCTGGTGAATTTCGTTTAGATACGTATGTACATTATTTTGTAGCCTTTGTCTTTTTACATTTTTATTTTTTATATTTCTCAAATACAACAATGATAATAATAATTATACGTACCTATAATATTCATCACCATAGTAATCGTAATAAAAACAATAAAATATAAAAGATAAATGATAAAATAAAAAAATAAATATAATTTATAATTTGTAGTTTAATTTGCAGTGGGTTTTATTTCTCCACTAAAAAATATTTTGTTTTTTATTCCGTTAATTCTTTTTTGTGTATAAGACACTTTTGTGTTTATTTAATTTAGATCAAAATTTATATGACATTAACTTTTTGATTTTTCTCCTAATTTGATAAATTCGCACCTTTGTAACTATAAATTTTCGCCTAAATTTAAGTTTAAACTTTATTCTGTGCTTATCTAAAACAAAATTTTGATTAGAATAAAAATCTAATTTTAATGCTTTGATTATGGGTTTTTAAGGTCAATGTTTTATATAACGTAAAAAATTTGAACTTAATTTTTTTTTAATCCAGGTGCCGTAGCGGTTATTATGATCTTTATAATAAAAATCTAAATTTAACCGTTATAATTGTATTTCTATTTTCCCGTTCAAATTTAACCGTTATTTTATGATTTTTATTCTTTCGATCAAAAATAATCGTTATTGGATTTTTTTCGATAAATTACGGATCGTTATTTTTGATTTTTATTTTTCTTTTATCATATAACAATTATTTTCAGATTTCATTTTTTAGATCATAAAATACTTAAATCGGTCGTAACAACGTAGTCTCCATTATATCGGTTGAAAATGATCGAAAAAAATCAAAATTCAAAATAACGATTATTTTTGTTTGCCAAAAATACAAAATCACAAAATGATGATAAAATTTGGCCGAAAAAATAAAAGTAAAAAATATAACGTTTATTGATAAAAAAAATAAAAATAAAAACCAGCGATTTTAAAAAACCTTGCTATTAAACGGTTATCATCGGTACCTGTTTTAATCATATTTTATTTCTTAAATTTTTCCCACTACATTTTTATGGATTGAAAAAAAGTCATTTTAAAACTAAAAGCAAATAACAAAATAAAATAAATCTAAATAAAATAATAGAGATTTTTTCACTTTTCTATGTATGAATACATATCATTTTTTCACTATTTTTTAATATATATATATATATGTATGTATATTAATTCTCACATTAATTATTATTTTTTAAACTAATTAAAGTATATTTTTTAATTTTTGTTGTTGAAATCGACCCACTGCAACTATATATATTTAAAGCTCTTTTTTTTGCAATCGTCCCACTGTGTGCTATCCATACCGCCGAACTGCTTAAAATTTATTTATTTTAAGCTAACAGAAATATAATTTTATAAATTTAAGCAACAAATGAGATTAACTGTATGCATTCATACATAGAGCACACGTACAAATATGCAAATAAAGTGCTTCAGCTACTACGCGAATACAAAGAGTAAAATTTATATTTGAAAAATATATCAAAAAATAATACACGAAACAAAGCAGTCGAATCAAATAACAGCAGAATTAAAGAACAATAAAAAATGATACGGAAGAAAAATAAAACGAAAATTACAATAAAACGCATAAAGTAAAATAAAAAAGAAAATGAAAAAATAAAATAAAATATAAAAAAATAAAATAAATAGACGAAAAAAAGAAAATGAATTAAGAAGAAAATAATGAAATACAAAAGAAAAAATTTAAAAATTATATAATTTAATTAAAAAATAAGAAGTATAAATAAATGGAATTAAACATAAAAATAAAAGTAATGAATTAAAATACAATAAAAATAAAAAGCAATGATGATTAAAAAATTTGCGTAAAGAGGAGAAAACTCAAGTAATGAAAGAACAGGGTTAAATCATAGAAATACGTAGGTATATGTTGATAAGGCTGCTTCGTGCCGTTCATGTTTACCTATTAAATTCGATGTTGAATAAAATTTTCATTTAAAAAATGAGATAAAATTGTAAAATATTAAAAAATAATAATTTTTTCAAAATTCTGTTTGAAAATAAAAAGCATACAAAATAAAAAAAATAATTTTTTAATGTTACTAATTTAGGTTATATATTTTTGTTCGATTTTTATTGGTAGGCTATTTCGGTTATAAGAAACATCATGCATCTTTAAAATTATGTATAAGCTTAAAGTTTAAAAAAAAGATATTTATAATGAAAAAACCAATAATTCATTAAATAAAATAAATTTAGTTTTAAATCGGTAGTTCTTATAAGTTAAACAAAACCTATACTATTATTGCTCTAAATAGACGAATGCTTTATATAAACGGGACATGATTTACAAGTTTTTCTTTTTATTAAAAAGATTTAAAAACTTATTTTTTTCTGACGAAGCAATTAAAAGAAAAAAACAAGAATTTCTATTGGTATAGCTTTTACCGCTGAAAGAACGCTAATCAGCTGCTGCGTATCACAAAAACAAATACCGTCGTTGTATACGCAGCAACAGATGGCAGCTTTTGGCTCAAAGTTTTCACGGGTTTCTCGCAAAATTATCATGTTTGTTTGCGTTTTTATGCGGAATTTCATATCTATTATTGTTTTCATATAAATTCATGCTAGGTAGGCGTATGTATAAAATATTAAAGATGAATTGTAAAATTACTCGTATGTATATCTTTCAACGAGCGAGATTTTGTGTTCCACGAAAATACATATATGTATAGACTCAGCGCTTGCGAGCGTGTACTGCTTACTTATAAAACGTTCTTATGGACGCTTGACTAAAATAAAAGTTACTACTAAAATGAAACAACTGCAAAAAAGTATTAACTATTTACCTATTAATATAACAATTATATAAAAACAATATTGCGTATATACTTAATAACAACTACTTTCCTTTAAGAAATATTTCATAGGTCTCTAATTTAAGTTTATTTGTGCTTATTTCATTTTTTAAATTTAATAAGTAATAATGGCCTTATTTATAAAAAATAAAGTAGGTTTAAAGAGCTTTATAAATCGACGTTCTCATACATTTTTCAGTTTATAAACCTTTCTTAAAACTACTTTATTTTTTATGAATAAGGCCATAAGCCTATCAAATTTAAAAAATATATAAGTATGTATACGCCTTAAGGCATTTAATTAAAATAATTGTGTAATGTGTACCTACATATCGTCAACTGCAATGCGAGAGGCCGTAACTAACAAAAAGAAAATCCATAAATCCACGTACGTTTCGATTGATTATGTTGCATTGCATCGAAATACAAGAAAAATAAAATTTTGTTACGGCTTTTTGCATTTCAGGTGGCGATATGTATGTATGTGCATATGTTTTTCCTGCGTTATAATTATTGAAGTGGCGTTGGGGATGCTTTTAACGTCTAATTTTTTTATTTTTAATCTCTTTTCTTATTCCTTGTGGCCTTATGTTTTGCAAAAATAACAAAACAAAACAAAAAATAATAATAATATATAGTACTAAATAAACAGCTATGTATTTTATATAAATGTAATTTTTTTATTTCACTTTCAATTAGCAGTAAGATTGTAATATTTGTAACCTAAAAGAGATGAAACAATAAATACGTTTGGCTTATGTAGTATGTGTATAAAGAAAATTGTTTAATTTATGCTCACCCGAAATATAGGCAGACAAGTTGACACAACGTACGCGTTGCCATATCTCGCTATCAAAAAGTTATCTAAATTATTTTTAGGTAACAACAACTTCAAAAACAATCCATTTCCGTTATGTCTTCGCGCTTGTTATCTATATATCATTATTTTATTTTTTATTTTCAATAATTTTTGTAGATGGCAACACCAATTCAAAAACGTACCTGGATTAAAGCTTTCTCGAAAAATTATCGTAAATTTTTTATGGTTGCATAGGTATTATTTTAATTATACAGTGTTATCTGGCTGGAGTGAACACCCGATGCTACGAACACCTCGAAAGAGTGAACATGAAAAGTTTTCCATTGAGTACTCTATAGAGTGAACAATTTTGTGTCTTTGTAGAGTGAACCAAATTGAAAACCAATTCCTTCCAAATTCAAAACTGTAACGACAAATTTAATAACAAAAAGGTTAATCCCTTCGCCAGGCCGATCCCGTAAATCCCCGTATCAGGGATCTCAGCTCGGAGATTCGGCAACTAGTGAACGTACATAAGCGGAAGAAGTGGGAAGACCATCTGAAGACCTGTAACTTCGCCTCTGGTGTGAGCAAGCTTTGGTCAACCGTGAGGTGATTGTCCACCGGGGAAACCGTCCAACAAAGGAGAGTCTTCTCGCCCGATAGCTATATAGAACTATTCAAGTGACGCTACTAGAAGACAAACGGTGGGCTGCGAAATACCTGAGTGGTCGTCAGTGATCTTTAGAGACAAATCGAGCAAACCTAGGAAAATTAAAACAGCGAGTTCAACAGGGTGGCGCCCTTTCCCCACTACTGTTCAACATTTACATTTCTAAGCTCCCTCAACCACCAGAGGTAGTCTCGATTGTCTCTTATGGTGACGATTGCTTGGTAATGGTTATTTCACCGAGCTTTCTCGCTTCGTCACTGCACGGAGCCTAACCCTCTCCCCTAAGACAAAGAACAAAGAAACGTTGCTGGCAACGTACAAGGCAATTGGCCGCCCGGTTCTGAACTATGCAACGCCTGTGTGGTTATCGGGGACTAGTAGGACGCAGTGGATGAAACTGCAGACTTGCCAAAACACGGCACTCAGACAGCGACAGGATGCCTTCTGATGTTGCCGAAACATCACCTCCGCAACGAGGCCAATATGCTCCCGATTAAGGAGCTAAACACAATGCTCTGCAAGCAATGCCTAGTAGGGTGTCACCGTGTTAGGTACCCGAACAGACATCTGCTTGCGGAAGAACCCTCGCGACGGCACGTCAGAACGCATCTTTATGAACTGACGGACGAAGTCCGGGGGTTCAAAAAACTATCTCTGGACCCAACAGCCTACCGACAGTTATATAGACTCTCGATCTGTGTATGCCGTTATGGGCACGCAACCACCAGACGTGGACGAGACAGAGCTTCGTCTGCCTCGGGAGACTCGGACCCCATAGCCCAACTTCGATCTGGCTACTGCAGCAGGTTGAACTCATACTTGAGCAGAATAAATGCAGATGTGCCAAATGAATTGCCCGCATTCGGAGAGAAGCCCCATGACTCGCAGCATCTCTTCGCATACCCACTGAACCCCACCCTGCCAACGCCTCTGGCCTTATGGACAGATCCCATCGAGGCTGCACGCTTCCAGGGTCTACCGCTAATAGAGCTTGACGACAACGATAGAACAACAACAGGAAACATGTGTTGGCATTAGCTGAGGGAAAAGACGACATTTCAGAGTTCTTAAAAATTTAACTTCAAAAGACGTACTGCGCAATAAAATTGATTTTAAAGAACAAAAAACTCAATCTGGATATAGTGAACAATCTGCATTTTATGAACTGGTCTTGCATTAATTAGTTCACTCGACCCAGATAGCACTGTATATTTTTTTTAATAATACTGTAGTGTTTAATTTAAAATTTTTAGATTAAATTAGCATTAATAGGGCTAGGAATCTCATGCGCAAAAAATCTAAAATATGCGCACTTAATATGCAATTAAAATTCAAAAACATGCGCTATAAAAAGGCAAATATACAATTAAAAATGTTTTCCTAATATTTGATTGGCGGTACAAGAAAAAATAATACTATATTTTAACAAGAAAATAACGAAAACAATTAGTTTTATAATACAATGCATACAACAATTACAATCTTGTGTAAATAGAAACATTGACAGTTTAATACAGTGGCTCAGATTAATAAGTAGAAAAAAATTATTGGTAATTTTTTTTCAAGAGATGTTTAAACAGACATTTTTGCAAAATATACACTATCGACTAAATGCCATTTTAAAGGAAATTCCAAAGATAACTTAACCATTTCCATTAGAAGATGCCTAATAAAAACATGTATTTACTTGAGATTCCCAGCCCTAGTTATTAAATACTTTTTTTTTTAAATTCATGCTGAAATATTTAATATACTTCAGTTTTTAAAAACGTGGCAACTCCAATCAAAACTATTGTCCTACTAAAGCCTTTTCAAAGCCGATGCCTATTTTATCAACTTTTAGAAATTTGAAGTTTAAGGCCACCGCGAAAATCTATTTTTCGAGAAAGCAATAGAAACAAAATGTACAATTATTTTAGCCGCTTTTCATTGAAGGTCAATTTTGGGATATCTTTACGACCGATTACATTCAAAAAGCTCCGCTCCACTTTCATCAGCTTCGCTTCCCTCCGCATTGCGTTGTACGCAGGCGCTCGGGTTTGTGTGTGTACGCACGCTTAGAATTTTTTGGAGTATACCATTTTATGGTCCATTCAACTGTGGTGCAAGTTTAAACTGGCTAATAATTATCTTTGATTTTTTAAGATTCTTTTTGGAGAAGGTGTTGCGGTTTTTTGCATATAAAAATAAACTGTGTTATGGAAGCAGATGCGAAAAAAAATTAAAAAAATCAACGGTAACTATTAGTCACCTTAAACTTTCACATTATAATACTAAAACCGAATGGGCTATAAAACTCAAAAAAAAATAAATTAAAACTTCTGAGAAAAAAAGTTTGAAATTTGGAGGAAAATTTGTTGATTTTTTTTTTTAGTTTCCTACAAAGTTTTACAATACCATATTGAACTGCTATTGATATTACCGATACCATAAAATGTCTCGTAAAAAGATAGTGCAGAAATGTGTTGTTAATTAATATACTTGCTTCTATATTTTAGCCATTTTAGATTAAAAAAAGAAGTACCTTGTCACCTTGTGATTTTGTTACAGATCGCTAGCTTAAGAGTGAAAAGTTGCTAAGTCCACTTTTTATGAAAACTCATATTTTGATACGGGGGACTAGAGAAATTAAATTTGCATCGTAATTTTTTAGCCTACTTCACAAAAAGGAAGAAGAATCGTCGGATTTTTTATTTTTATGTATGTTATCGCCTAACTTTGGACCACGTTAACCGATTTCTATAATTCGTTTTTCCTTTAAAGGAAAGGTGTTACCTCACAGGTGGTCCCATTCTAATTTGGTTAAAATCCGATCATTGGTTCATGAAGAAATTGTATATGAGAATAGAAGTCAGTTTTGTTTTTTGGCTAAAAATTACTTATTTTTGCTTTGTTGTTGCTCCAAATTGACATAGTTTTAATTAAATTCAAAGTCATACTTTTTATTTTAAACACCTTGATTATATTTTATTCGTATGCGTATAGTATATGTATGTATATTGATATTTATTAGCTTAACAATTTGTTTTAATACTTAAACTAAAAAAAAAAATTTATGTAAAAATCGCAAACATATTTTTTCAACTTCAAAATTCGGGAATGTTTATTTTTAAAATAATTCTCTGCAGATTTTACATACCACACTTACGTACATATGTACTTTGCGCTGTGCATGCGTTTAACTAAATAATTTTTATATACCAAAAACATTTTGCTTGCAACAATTTATTAAGTCAAAATGCGCTCCAATAATTTTGGAAAGTTGTTTTTTTGCGCTGATCTAAAATACTTGTAGTTCCAAAGTTTGAATAAATTCATTGTGTTTTGTATCGAATAGTAGCTTATGTCGGGAAGCTGGCTGTAGTATAATGCGGCATTCCCTTTATTCTTTAAATGATAAGGAATTTTTTGATGAGACTTAATAAGAATATTGGCTTGCTAGTTCGAAACTATTTCTTGCACGCTTATTTGCCAAAAGTTCTTCAACGGCTCGGCGCCAGTGAGGCATTAAACTAAATCCAGCCTTTCGACACCAGCTTCTATTCCATACGAACACAGCATTTATCTATGTAGGTATGTCATTGATGAAATTTTAATATTTTAAAAATCTAACAGCAGTCTCCCGCCGTTTATGGCGAGCGTATGATGGCCTCGTAAGCGGCGAATATCATTGGCGCCACCTCCACCGAACGCGATTTCAGACTCAATGTCGCGTCCGGATTACCCGGCTGCAGCTTCAATTCGAGCAAAACCCAAATGTTATTTGTTAATTTTAGCGATTGATACAACATATCCTGTCCCTCGACATTACGCTTGGCTATGGTGAATACATTGTTGGTAGTCATTTTTGAGGCAATGCCATCGGTGGTGCCGATTACTCCGCTCAAGCTGTATTGCACCTCATTGGCGGCCGGTATCTCCTTCCAGGTGTTTAAGAATACGCGCTTATCCAACTGACCGTCCTCGGCAAAGAGTACATTGCCATGTACAAGGCAAGCAAAGTAGAAAATATCAATGTTGTTTTTGATTGCCACTTGCAGATTATTCAATGGCTCCATACGCTGTACGGGGCCATGTGTGCCTAACGGTAAAGTCGCCTCAGTGCTCTGATTCGGTGGCACCGGTGCCACCTGCATGGGCGAAGCGGGTATCAGCCCGAAGCTATTTTTGTTTAACTGTACAGCAAAACCACTCATGGGTTGCATTGCTTTGTTGGTGAGCGTCATATCCATGAAGATTTCGCCATTGCGGCGCGAGAATGTGCCCTGTATTTCGAGACCCTTACCCTTTTCAGCGGGCAACCAAATAATTTTCGGTATTTGCACGCCCACAGTGAGGGAGGCGCCAGATAGGCCGAATATGTCGCCGAGCAAGCTGGTGGCCCCACCAGCTGCAGGTTCTGCCGGACCACCGCCGAGCTGAAAATTTAAATAAATTTTCTTTATAAATAGCAGACAAATATTAAAGTTTGAAAGCTTACCAAAATATCCAAGCCGCCGCCGAGCAGATCTACATTGCTGGTAGTTGGTGCGGCCACGGGCATGGCGGGCGCATTAATGTCCATCGACAACAAATCGCCAATCAAAGATTCTTGATTCGGTATAACCATAGCTTCGCCACCAGCTTCTGGTTCGGCACTGCCTGCTGCTGGTGCGCGATTTGGTAGCGACTTTCGCACGCCAGCGCCGCGTCCCTCAACAAATGCGGTTGGTGGCTTGTGGTAGACACTCGCCAACGAACTAATGTGACAGATCAGCTCATCCAGCAGCGTTGGCTCCAACAAATCAGTTTCCTCTGAAATCAATGGCTTGTCAGCCAAGACCACTTCTTTGGCTGCAGCTGGATCAGTGGACAGCAAACGCCAGTATATAAAGCCACGGTCACGCAAATCAGGGTTGTCAGAGTCTTGTGTGGCCAGCGAGAGCACATGCTGTACGAGCTCCTGCGTGTCGGATGGCCGTTTCAAAAATAGTTTGACCACTGCAGTTAGCAGCTGCAGCTGCACTTGAGCATTCTCGTCTTGGAAACCTTCCAAAAAACTATCGAGCAACTCATCGGCGTTGTCAATGCGCTCAGCATATTCGCCAATAATCCAAACCATTGAAGCACGTGCCTCTGGCTCATCGAGTGTATCGAGATTCTCACACAATGTGCTGATGATGCTCTCATATTTGTTCGGGTACTTGCGGAAAATGTCCTTGATGACGACGATGGCCTCTTGTACCACATAGTTGACCTTAGTTTGGATTAAGTCGAGTAGCGTGGAAACGCAGCGCTCTGCGGAGGGCTCAACCTAAGTATATAAGGAAAAATTGTTTAAGCACAAATAATGTTCTCTTCTGTCCTAAAAATCACCTTAATAGCACAACGTCCAATGGCGCGAACGGCTTTTCGCACAAAGTCCACATCCACCTCAGTAGCGTACTCCTTCAACTCGCTCAACACCTGTGCAATGTTGGTTTGGTTTGCCAATCGGATCATAATGTCTAATTTTTCCAATTTTACATAAATTGGGTCATTGTATTTGACAAAGAACACTTTCATCTCATGCTTCAGAATATCTGGGCGCTTTTGTACAATCAAATTAATGTTGCGCAATGCAACATATTGCACCTCTGGTTCTGAGGAAAGCAGCGTAACCAGTGGTGGTGCCAATTTCTTGGTAAGTGTTGCACAGAAGTCGCTGTCACTTGAGAGCATCTCCAGCAACTTCATCAACACCTTTACGGCGCTTAAAACCACTGCTGCATTGGCATGTGCCAAGCGTGGCGTGATACGTTCGCAAATCGATTGAGCTTCACGCTCGTCTTTGGGACTGTAGTTGGCTAGTGAGTCGAGTATGAACACTTGTCCCCATTCGGTGCACTCATTAAGTGCTGTGAGTAGTTTATTGATGGTAACTGAGTTCATTTCGACTAGTGGCTGACCCGATTGGCTGGCCTCATTGATTTCGCTAAGTGCGGCAACAGCGTTAGCCACTACCATAGGGTTGGAATCAGAAAGCAAATCCTTAAGCTGGTCCAAGAATCCCTGATCCTCTACCTGAAGTTAGGAGTATGTAGGGCCAATTCGTGTTTACTTGATAAAAATAATTGAAGATTTATAAATTTACCATAGAAGATGAGATGTCGTATAACTTTGCAACACATACAGCAGCAGTTTTACGCACGTAAGGGTCCTCATCCTTCAAGCACTTGCGTAGTGGCTCACATAAATATTCAGTTATTTTGTCGACGCGTATGCAACCCATTGTGCGTACGGCCAGTGCGCGTATAAGCGGATTGGAGTCTTCACAATCCTAAGGAAGTGCAAGAGTGTTGATTCATGTGCGACTTGAGAATTTAGTTTTCATTAATTAAATACCTTTACAAAAGTATTAACAGCCATAATTGCCATATCCGGTTGGGATTTAGCGTAGTTCATCAAGTATAAATATACTAATTTCTTTAGCTCCAGATTATCCGTTTGCATGCAGTTCACCACGTCAGGGAATAGCGCCGATACATCTTTGCCCACAGTCATGCTGGCGATAACCTTTTTTGATAAATGGTTTACTAAGATATTTCAAAAACAAAACTGCTTGGTTTTTTTTTCTTAAACATACCTTTTTCACGGCTTCCTTTTTCTTTTCCTTTTTATCATTATTCAACTCCGATTTAAGCTCGAAGATTTCACCTTTCTTGGTGGTTGTAAAATACTTGGAGTCGGTCATTTTTTATGCACTCGTATCAACTGAAATAAAATGAACTTATTAGAGATGCAAATGGTAGTTGTTGTTGTTGGAATATCATGAAATGCTCCTGAAATGCCTGTAATTTGCCAGAATCTAATCTAGGTTCTTTCCGGCTAGCCTCACTCTTAATTGCTAATGCTAACAGCAGCTTTTGGTCTTCATCCCATATTGTCGTTTAATCAATATAGCCCGGCCCGCCTGCATAATTCGCGTATACAAAACGCTGTATTATGTGTCACTCAGCACCAACGGAGTATCACTTTTTCAACGAAGGGGCGTCAGCTCGGCAAGTTTTCTTGCTGTGTTTTCCACACATTTGAGGTGAATTTTTCATACTCTTTTCCATATATACAACGTTTAGTCATTAATTTACCATTTTTTGCACAAAAACTATGCTTTTACCTTGTTTTAGTGAATGAAATTACAATTTTTAACGTAGCGACGAAAACTTTCCAACAATGAAAAAATAATGATTTTTCGAGGTATGTTTATTGTGCATAGCGCGTGTCATTTCACACAGTGGGTGGAATATGTGTCGATAATTTTTGCAGTATATCGATTACGTAGTGCGCAACACAAAACGAAGGGAAAAGGAAACGTGGTTGAACGTGGTGGTGGAATTCAAAATTTAAAATAAAGTTAAAAGGAAATTGTACATTTTACATTGAAATGGTAAATAGTTTAATAAAATAATAGGTTTTTATCTGTTCCATCACATGAGAAAAGTATGCAAAATAGTACGCGGACTGAAAATTTGCAAAAACTTGCCAACTCGACGATTAGCTGATAGAAATTAGTTTTGTCTGTTTACAAATTATTCAGTAATTCGCCAGCAACTCTCCAGTAACTTAATTTCTGAGAATTCGCTCTCATAGAAAAAATATCCAAAAAAGTACGCGAACGCAAATCCCGTAATAATATGCAAGTTTTATGAGCCGCTGATAAATGGATTGTTTATTCGCTGCAAATTCCTAATAAAACAATATATATTATATTTAAATAAGTTTATTTTGCCAATTTCAACAATAAAAACCCATAAACAGTTACCTTATTAGTTTAAATTGCATTCAGCAACATGCGATCAGCTGTTTTTCGTACTGGCAAATTGTTACAAGTAAAAATTTGTCCAGTACAAATCCAGTAAAAACTTGCAACTTCAGCAACCTGATCCCCCGCTCTCCTCAGGTAAATAGTACTTGTTTTATTTTTACTCGTTTATATTGAATGAATGGCAAATTTGCTAGTTCCAAAAGAGGCACCGAAAATCCGATAAGGTCACAATAATACGTAATCTCTTAATCTTTGTTAATAAAGATCGGTGGATTTTGCGTTGCCTTAAACACACACAATGTTGTATTCCAAGTTTTGTGAAATGCTTGAGAAAAATGGCTATTAGAAGTTTTTTTCTCCTATAAATTTTGCAACTATGCTTACTTTCTTTATGGGCTTAAGGGCTTCCTCCAGCTCTCAAGAAAAAATTCATATAAAATGACGCACAAAAATGGAAAAGAAATTTTCTTCTATCAAAATTCTCAAATCAGTTTGCAGCTCTCAAGAAAAAAATGCTCTTATACAGAAATAATGAAAAATATTTCTTGTGATTTTTCTCGAGAGCTTGATTCCAAGCTTTATTCATGAAAATTAAAATAATTTTGAGTCGACCGACCAAAGATAATAGTTCCTGAAGATGCCTTCAGACTGAAGGCGAAATATCGACCAAAATAAAACTAAAAAGTAAATAAAACAGAAAAACATTTAATGTTTTATCTAACATACGGCCTATAGCTCAAAAATAAATTATTAAATTATACTAAACGGCCAATAAGCAACACAATCATTTTGAAAAGATGTAAAAAAGACCTTTCCATACAACTTGTTGATTTATGTATGTACCTATGTATATAAATTTGGGTGTTCAATGTTAACTTTCTGTGAAAAATTCGCAAAATATGTGTTTATGTATTTCCTTTTGGTACATATATAAATATTAAAACAGCTGTTATTAATGTTCTAGCAAACAAATGTTTATTTTTTATTTTTTAATATTTTTTATTATTTTTTTTTTTAATTTAGGTATTTAATAATTTAAATTTAGCTTAAAGTTTGTAACACATAAAATAAATGAAGAAAAATGTACGAAAATGAGTTTCACATGCTCTCTTTTCGATTTATTTATGTTATTTTTTATGTAATTGGTAGGTTTTTAACAGTTTTCTAAATTTTCTTATGGTTTATTGTTAATATCTTGCTTTCGGTAGTTTTACTTTCCTTGCTTTGTTGTCGAGTGGTAAAGTTTCTTAAGATATTATTCTGTTAAATATCTTGATTTATGTATTTCTATGTTGTTGTGTATTTTTTAGTCAAGTTTTTCTTCATTGACTTAATATGAATGTTGTATATTTATTTAATTGCATCAGTTTATCTGCAGTAAATTTTTATTTTCGAATATATGTATGTAATATAAGTTAATTACAATATATGTATGAATGTATATAAGTAGTATTAAAAGTTGTGAAATTTCGTTTATTTTACTCATTTTTGTTTTACTATTTAAGAGTATAATAATTCAATAATGGTACACACGTACATATAATTTATGGTAGCAGGTTTTTTGAATTTGGCGGCCAATATTTTTAACTTTGTTTCGAACATTTGAATTTGATTACCGAATTTTGGCTGCAATTCATTTATTTTTTAAATAATACCCTTGCGCGTATTAACAATAATTTCAAAAATTCAGTCTTATTAAATAAATAAAAAACTTAGGTACACACATTTCAGCGGAAAATCATTTAAATCAGTGTAGTCGGTTGTAAACATGTTGCTTATTTACTTGGTAAACGGTTTTTGCATACTTTTCTGTTAATCCTCTTTTTCAACAATTAATTACTTTCAAAAATAGTTTGCTTTGCCTCCGTTTTTATATAGTTGTGTAGGAGTGAAGTTACAGTTACTTTTATTTTATGACGTTATTCAGCTTTCTTTAGTTACTGTGATTATCGATAAGTTTACTTATGTAACTGCTGTAGAGCATTTAGCATATTTAAACATGAATAATTAATTAAAAAGTTTGTAGAAATAAAAATTCGAAAAATACAGTTTTTTCTCTCATTTTGTTAAGTTTCATGTAACTGCGTTTTGATAAAAAATGCGCTTCTTTACTTTCTTTGCGTCTCAGCTTTTGTATCTATTAACTGTAATAGTTATGTAATAAAGTTTATTAGCAATTCCAAAAAATTGCAAATTTAGTGTGTATATCATCATGTGTTATTTACTATTTCCTTTTGTGATTCAGGTGGTACCGGCTTGTGCTCCCAATGAAGGAGAGATATCGAAATTGTTCTGCTTTGGAAGAACAAAATTTATGAGAGTGCGTTGTTTACTTCTGGTAGCATTGGATATTGTTTGTTTTCCTTTTTTTAAGTTTAGTTACACCCAACTATGTTTTTCAATAGTCCAAGGAAGTGTTTTATTGCAATAAAATAACTTTGTATATTTGTATGTGTGTGTACATAAATATGTGCATGACACATTTTCAAATTCTGTTTATCGATATTTTCCACTAAGCAGTCTGGGATGTGTTTAGTGTTTATCGTCGACTAAATATTTTTACCTTCACTGACAATGGCGTTCCGTTATAAAGTGTATCCGGCTAGCTGAAAATACAGCTGACTAATTGCTCGTGAATTTCAAATGAATTAAAAGTACTTTTATAATAATAATAAATTATTTGTGTTTGTTTAAGGTAGTGAAATTAAAAGTGTGAAATGTGTGAGTGAAGATAGGAGTGTAGGAGTATGAAGTAATCAGAAAATTGGAGGTTGAGTTCAACAAATTTAAAGGTTAGTAAAATGGTGGTACAGACGAATGCCAGTTATCTCGAAATCAGGAAAACGGAAACAGACAAATATGTACATGCATATGTATATGTATGTATTTTTATACACGAATTTCATTTAATTTGTGAAGTGTCTTAGTTGGTTCAATGGGCTATTCCTTGACATAAAAAACGTCTAGAGGGGGAAAGTGCGGACACCCTGACCGAGTGGTTTAAAATTCTGCATACGGTTTCGAATGGTTAAAGTTATAGTAAAATTTATTTTCCTTCTGAAGCATATTTTCGTTTTTGGCGCTGTAACCGCCTAAAGGAACTTCGTAAAGTTCAACAAAGCGCAGTAGTCGTTTCATTACATTATAGTTAATTCAAAAAATACACCTAACATATCCGCTTGAGCATTCGCATTCGCGTTAAATTTTTTTTAAATACTCCTAATTCAATTGAAATTCCTCCATTTCATCTGCGTTTTGGAAACTCTTCGCTTGCTATCTAAATAAGACCACTCGATTTCCTTTACTTGTGTTACAAAAAAAATAAGATATGTTTTTATTTACGCGAGTTCTTAGACTTGTTCCACTTTTACTCCTTACTGCTTTTAGGCATATTTTTTATTGCTATTTTGGCATGTGTAATCTCAACTACATGCTTGCAGTAAATATCGCGAAACAATTTTGTAAAATGGTTCTTCATGTAACCCTCATCTGTTTGAATTGTATATTTGTTTTGGTATCTTAACAAGTTCTTTTTTAATTTTATTACACACAATGCGCTATAGCTAATAAATTTTCAAAAATAATTTACAGTGTCGAAGTGACATTAAATAATTTTGATAATTTTTCTTTTGCTTTTTAAATTTTAATTTGTTTAGTTAGTATTAAACAAAATGAAGTACATACTTATTAAATTTTTAACTTATTATTACATTGTATAAAGTAAATACATATAAAAAAGATACATAGAGAGAGAGAGAGAGTGCATAACCTGTAATGTACATGCACTAAAGCTTTTATGCCTTAAAAATTCTTAATTCTTACAAAACATTTAATTTCAGCAGTGAGAATTGTATTAGTTGACATATGTATAATTTTTTTGTATATAAAAGTAAATTTAAAATTGTTTACATTAGAGTTGCATATTTATTTTGTCAAATCCGCACAATTCCATAGATCAAAGCTGACCCAATGGCTTTGATCAAATATGAAATTGTGTTTTAACAAACAAACGAAGAATACACACACGCACGTATAAGTATTTGTATATAAAAATTTGATTTGTTAATTTACATAATTTAGTAAGCAATAGTTTTTTTAAGTTCAGTATAAAAATTTATAAATTTATTAGATAAAAATATTTTATATTTACCCCTCATTAAAGGAGAAAAAATACTTTTTCAGCATTTCCAAAGCGTTTAACTTACATATAACTAATAAAATTTAAAAAAAAAAGTCATTTTCATAACTGTGTGTGTGATGAAGCATTTAGTTAGTAAAAACTTGATTTTTTTAATAACAGTTCAGCGTTTGCTTAAATATTATGAAACAAAGTAGTAATGGCTTGAAAATAATGCCCAATCGCTCATCACTCACTTTCAACTTTCAGTGGTTTTCTTACTGTTTCTTCTTATAAATTTCATATGAACTTTTTTCGCGACCGCAGCAGTTCATAAAATTTTTATTGCATTTTAACATTTTTATCAATAAAGTAGAGGTATATTCGGGGTCAAACGAACTGGTTATGTTTTTGCCTGTTTTTCGTTCATTTACATATATTTTTTTATTCACTAGCTTTTAGGCTTTTAGCTTCAAAATTGTTATTGGTTGTTACAATTTTCAGATATTTTTATTCATTTTCGGTACTTAGTTGTCATGCTTTACTTTGGTATGTGTTTTTTTTATACAATATACATACTATACATATGGCCGTATTTTATGTAGTTCTTTTTCTTTTATTAAATTTACAACTGGTTTCCGTAGTTTTTATATTTTGACTACTTTTTTCGTAACATTTCATTTCACAATAGATATGGCATTAATGAAATTGAAATTCTGCATAAATTTTGTAACAATAGCACGTTGGATATAACAGTTAGATTGTTTTCTATGTATGTATGTGGTTAAAAATAATTATTTTCACACTCAGCATTGTATTAACTTTGATATTTACGAAAAATCAATTTAAATATTTAACAACTATTTTTATGTTTGTATGCAGTTATATATGTACGTACCGTCAGTGTCAAATGTAAGTGTACACCTTGTTATAATATAATGTTCACACTTATTTTCATGAGAAATTTGTTTCATTAATTATTTATGAAAATATAGTTCATTTTACAACATAACCATATGAATCACAGTTTCGCACTTAATATAAAGTTCACAAAAATTCAAACATTTTTCATCAAAGTTTAAACATTCTTATTCACAGTGCAAATTTCAAGTCGCTGAAAGTTACCGTTGATTTTTTTAAATTTTTTTGTGGTGGGTGTTGCGCGTTTTCTTCCATAAAACACGTGATCAAAATCTATTTTTAAAATTGAACGGGCTACAAAGGTGCATACTCGAAAATTTTCTAGAAATTCTGAATAAAATTTTTTAAATTTTTATGAAAATTTTTTGAATCTTTGTGAACTTTATATAAAGTGTGAAACTTTGCTTTATATGGTTTTTGTTGTAGAATGAACTATATTTAAAAAATAATAATGAATGACAAAAAATTTCATGAAGACAATTGTAAATATTTCATTAGAACAAGGTGTACACTAACATTTGCCATTGACTGTATGTATGCATGTACATTAAGGTGGTTCAAAGGGATTTTCCGGCCACCCCCTAATACTGAAGAATATCGAAAATAAGGTGATCCGTATTTTTTATTTTCAAATCGGTTAATCAAAAATATACTTTTTTGTAAAATTGCTATAAAATAGTTCAAAGTAAAATTTTTTTGACCGCACAAGAGTCTTTCTCTTCAGAAATCTTAAAAAAAAAAATTAAATTTATACATATTTAAATTTTAAAGTTTGGCCTACTACTTTTTCATAACCGATAATCTTATTTCTTTTATAGAAAATGTGCTATTTATGTGTTCGTAACGTTGTGTAAAATTTTAAAGTTAGAAATGTGCCCATGTTTAATTATTTTGGTAGATTTCTGAAGGGAAATATTCTTATTTGATAGAAAATATTTATTTTTAATGATTTTATAGCAATTCTAAGGAAAAATCTATTTTCCCCATGTAAAATATATGGGAAACATCAAAACATCAAAGACCCGACGGCACTGTTAAATATTAACTAATTTTCAAATAAAAAATACGGGTCTCCTTATTTTCGCTATTCTTAAGTTCTGTTGATGGCAGCGGGAAAATTCCAAAAAGGTGCTTTTCCTATGTATTTTCGGACCCTTCTAATGTACATACCCTGTCAGCATTTTCTATCGCGGAAGTCACTAATTCGGTACGACATTTCTGTAAAAATTTTCTAGTTCTTATCCGCTTCCGGATTCTATTTAGCTTGCAAGCTCAATTGCAGCCATATTCTATGAAATTTTAACTAAATATGAATGTATAAAAAAGTTAACATCACATCTGTTTAATATGTACATAAGTAGTTAAACATGATTGATCACCTGAAAATGGAGAACAAACTGACAAAAAAAAATAACCTGCTAGGAAGGTAGAAAAGCGATAGAAAATATGTTTTTTTGTTTGTAAATACTAAAAATTTTCTTCCAATTGCTGGCAGGGTATGTACATTAGACCGTACCACCTTAAAAGCAAACAAAAAAAGTTGGCCGTTCTCCCCTGAGTCTAAAGAATTTTTGCAAAGCATTTTCGGAAAAAAAACTGAATTTTTTTGGCCTTTGCCTTTTTACAGTTTCAGGGCTAATGATTTTTGGTGAGCTTTAATTTACTAATATTGGGGTAGTACGTTATGGGATAAGAGCTGAGATCTTGTGGGTAAGTACTAGAATGGGTACTTGAGATCAATTAAGTTTAGAACAAAAAAAAAATATATATAACATCTATATATCATACCGTAAATGCCGAAGACATGGCGAAATATTTATTTATTTACGAAATTTTACGTTCGGCACCAAAAAGTTCGAAAATGCCTTCGTATCGAAATACATACTTCCTTAGCAAAAGTTAATGATTTTTGGCAAGCTTCTATTTACTGGCATTAGGCTAGTAGTAGTTCGATCTATAAAGGAAAACATAAATAAAGATAAAGTTTCAAAGCTTGCACAAAGTTCACTTAAATTAGTAAAACCAAAAATATAATCAAAATTTCCAACTTTTTGTCTATAATTTTAGGAAAATTTTCGAGTATGCAGTTTTTGAGCCTATTCAATTATAGTATAATATCTAAAGTACAACTTTCAAGTCACTAACTATTACCGGTATATTTTTAGATTTTTTTTCGAGTATTTTGAAAAAATCAAAGGTAATTTTTAAAAACTTGAAACTTGCACGTTATTATACTAAACTGATTGATTAAAAATTCTAGAAAACAATTTTTGAAATGAGAGGTGCAGTTTTTTGAAATTTGATTAATTTTTGTGAACTTTGTGTAAGCTTTAAAACTTTTCCTTATGTGATTTTGGTTATAGGTCGAACTATAATTTAATAATTATTATAATTATAATATTATTAATAAATATTAATAATAAATAAATAAACAAAAGTTGCGAACCATATGGTGCTATTAATTTGACGGCAGCTGTATATGTTCCCCCAACGTTCAACAAAACAAATTACAAATTGCCTCGAAAAAAATAATTTAGACTCAGGGGTGTACGGCGAACTTTTTTTCTGGTACGGTCTAATGTACATTTATGTACATATGTACATACACACATATGTGTGTATGCATTTAGAATGTGTTCATGCACTTGTACTCGCCAAATGCTATCAATGCACTCTACCTTTTCTGTCTGCATTTAACTTTTTTTAAATTTAGTTATGCATGTTTGTTTATAGCTTTCGGCATTAAAATTACATATGTGTGTGTGTTTGTTGTATGCATTTATGTATGTTTTTGATGAGTAAATTTACTAAGTAAAATTTAAAAATTTTTATTATTCAGTATTCTTATTTTTTTGTTAAATTTAATAAGAATTTTATGCATTAGTGTATGTGTACATGCTGTATGTATACATACTTATGTATATACATATGTATAATATATAAATATAATTTGCTTTAAATTACAATATAGTATGTATGTAATGTTTATATGTATAACTAGTTTCGCAAACATTATTTAATAACCTCATCATTAATATATTTTTTTAAATATTTATTAGATACTAAATATGTATAATTATAATATTAATAATGTTAATTATAATGAGAATTTCTTTTATAACTATGTGTATAGTATTTGCATTCTTGTACATATGTATGTATGTGTTTTCTTTACACATACGCCATATGTATTTTTCTTAAATTTGTATTTTTTATTTCTTTTTGAAGTTTTGCAAATCACTTGCACGCTATGTACATATTCTAACAGTTCCTTCGCCATGAACTTATCTATATGTATGTATATAAGGAATCACAAAAATCTATTTTATCAATTTAAAACATAAAATGCGTATTTTTGTTTAATATACTATTTAAAAAAAAATGCTACACTTAAATTTTACTCATAACAATAAGTCAATTTTTAATATTTTTATTTTAACTATTTATATTTTGTCTATATTTTCTCTATACGCGTGTATGGTACATTGTTAAGTGCCGCTTTCCTTGTTAAATTATTAACTTAGTTTTGGTTTTACTTTTTTTGTTTCTTTATGTTTTTCATTTTTCTGGAATAGTACTAATTAAATACGTTTGGTTTTCACTTTTTCCTGCCACTTTTAATCATCCCACGTTGGGAATTGCGTTTCATCGATGAACATGGTAAATTTGCCATCACTTGTTGTTGTGGAATTCGCTGTTGTATTTCTTGTACTAGTGGAATTTCTTTGTTGTTGTTGATTTGTGGAATTGCTTTCAGTTGCTTTGGAATAATTTGTTGTGTTGGAACGTTCTGAAATGTGCACAAGCAAAAGCAAAAGGAAAATATAAAGTATATGTTCGTGTGGCAAAATTGTTGCACCCACTTGTTGTTGCTGTATGCTTAGTGCATGTATCCTTTGTGGCCCACACTGGCTCATTGCTTTGATTCATATACGTTGGTTGATCCCAAACAGCTTTCTCTTCAACATTTTTACTCTGAAAAAAGTTTAAAATATGTTTTTTTTTTTTTTTTTGAATCGCAGTGTACTAAAATTTTTTTTCGTTCTCTTTTCTAGCGCACTTACGTAATCCTTATCGACATGCAGTTCCATATCATCCGTCGTCTGCTCGAGTGTACTGTGCGTGATGCCGTAGTAGAAGTACATGATGAAGCCCAATGTCATCCAGATAGTGAATCTAACTAATGTGAGTATGCTTAATTTAAATATTAAATAAATATTAACTGTAATGGCGATTGCTGGTATAAATGGAAGTCCCGGCGTTAGGAATGCGAGCGCATATCTAATATAAAAGAAATAAAAAGCAAAAAAAAAAACGTACATTTTATTTGTCCGCGAATGTTAAAGAGTGATTAATGCATTGCCAGGTGGAATATTATTTACCTATTTTGTGGTTGTCTTGATATAATTAATAGTATCACAAATATGCCAATGAACAAAATGAAATAAATGAATGCGGCGAGGCCACCGGACCAGCCAATGGCCGCAAACAGATCCAAGAAGAATATGAGACCGAACATGATTCCAACAAGTTTCGTGACATACATGCCTGTTTATGGAAATAATAGATAATAATAAAAAGCAACAATTTCGAAGTTATACTGAGCAAATGTTGTGCATAAATTTACATGAAAAGAGTTAACCTACTCATATTTACTACTACTTAAATATTGTAAAAAAAAGTATAGCATTAGACATACCACTTTCCGCCGTGGCCTGCCCCGTATTTATCCATGGAAAGAAGCCGGGACACAGGTATGCATAATCATGTAATTTACGTGATACGAAGTTCAAGCCCATTGTGTCGAAGGCGGTCGCCTGTCCGGTCGGACCAGTTGGTGCGCCATGTACGCTGCCATAGAATTTATTCTCCGAACGATCAGAAACAAGAAATTGGTCATCACGTCCCAAGTAACCTTCAGGACTCTCATCTATAAACGAATCATCCGAATCGGACATGCCACGCGTCACACGTTTTATTGTTAATTTATTCGACGGCAACACCTCAGCGGTTGTGGCGCTCGGATCTGTAGCCGTGCCAGGCGCAAGCGGCGTGCGCAGCTGCGCGGGCAGCAACTCAACCAGCGATGTGCTGTGTGGCTGATAGCGCAAGACGAGCACACAAGTGGAGACCAGCGTGTAGGCGAGTAGTGTGCCGATGGACATCATTTCGACGAGAATTTCCAGCCGCACTGTTAGCGCAACCAGTGCGGCTGCAATACCACTGCCAATGGTTGCAAGACCGGGCACGTTGGTACGTTGCCACAATTGCGAGAGTGGTCTGCAAGCATTCGAAGAAAATCGAAATAAATCAAAAAGGTAGTAAGTAAAATTAAGAAATGAGATGAAATAGCGCGCAAACGTTCGCAAACTGCCTACCGGAATATGAGTCCGTCTTGCGCCATGGCATAAATCACGCGTGGCATTGGGAACATAGAGCCGAACATTGCTACCGAGAGTCCAGCAGTGGCGCCCACGGCGACAATGGCGCGACACTTGGGTGCACCCACGTAAGACCACATTTGTACCAACGCCGCGCCCGCGTTGATGTGGTCATAGGGCACTGCAGGCAAAGCGGAGAGAAATTAACGTGTCAGTGCATAAAATGAAAATTATAAAATGCCGCTTGCACCCACCTACAAGTGTTAAAACTAAACTAACGCTCACATACGCCATCAAAACAATCACTAGTGAGCCGACTATGGCTTTCGGTATGCTCTTTTGCGGATTGTGCGCCTCCTCGCCAGTGGTGGCTATTATATCGAATCCAATGAAGGCATAAAAGCAGGTCGCTGCACCAGAGAATACCTGCAAAGTCGGAAAGAACATAGAAATAAATTGGCTTTCTAGCCTAAGGAATTGTAAAAGCTTTTGCTTAACTTACACCACTCCAACCGTATGGCAGGAAACCTTGATGTTCTGTCCAAGTACTGGAATCAACATAAAATAAACCGGCTGCCATAACAAATACCCATGTCGCCAGGTTTATGGCGTTCAAAGTATGATTAAATATCACCGATTTACTCGCACCCAACGCCAATATGCAGGTCATAATCAACGCTATGCCGAATGCTATAAAATCGGGTGGCTTACCTGGAGAGAGAGAAAGGAATTTAAAACAATTTACTCGAAACAAGAAAAATATAGGCGTAGTTATTTCGCAAAAACAAAATCATTAGCGACCTACCAAATATGGTGCCAATTGTATCACCGATTGCATTCGCTATTGCACCACCGGTTAATGAGTCGAAACTAGAACTTAAAGCACACGCACAGGCACTTGTTCCTGCATGAGCAAATTAGATACGTGTACAATAATCAAGTGTTAATGAAAATGCAAATTTAAATTTCTAACTATTCACAGTCGCCGCTTACCTATTAAATATTCCAGTATCATATTCCAGCCAATAATAAACGCTACAAACTCCCCCACCGCTACGTAAGAGTACATATAAGCTGAACCGGAAGTGTGTGGCACGCGCACGCCAAATTCCGCATAGCAAGCGCCTACGCGTAACCAAATAAGGAAATTCGAAATATTTATGTTGCAAATATACAGCCAAGCCATAATTAACTAAGCTGCGAATTATCTTACCTGAGAAAATGCTGGCTATCGCAGCTATGATAAAACTAATTATCACACCGGGTCCAGCGAGATTTTTCGCCACCATACCCGCAACCAGGTACATACCAGTGCCACAACACGAACCAACACCCAGCGATGTCAGATCCAATGTGTTAAGGCATTTCTAGAAAGATCGAGAGAATAGTATTACAAGTGCATTATAAAAAACAACACTTAAAGCTAAAAAAAAGCGAAAATTATTAAAAAAAAGAAAACCAGAAATCAAAATCAATTGCGAACATCGCCTTGCGTGTGCTCTCTGCTGCTGATATTAAATTTGTTACCGTTAATTTCGGTTTAGTCGGCTGCGCGCTGCCGTCCTGCAGCTGCTTCACATCCTTCGTTCGTATAAGCTTCGGTATCAGCGTTGTTGTGCTTACACCGGGCGGCAAAGGAATTTTAAATTTTATCTGCAAGCAAAAAGAAATTATTGAAAAAAAATCATAAAAAGTGGTCAACACAGGCGGCGGGTATGACGGTGCGTATGAGCAACGTAAAAAAACTCACGCTGTTAAGCAAAAAAAGAAAAATCAGAAATTAAATAGTTATTAACAATCAAGGACTCTTCAAGTCATTTGCCATCATTTGAACATCATTAGCAGAAGGCTATATGAGCACACATGCATGCATTTATAAGCATACACAACGCCACTTTACACTGCTATTAACACTTCAGTCAATTGGCCCACTTGTCTGCGTTTGCCAGCACTGCATACATACACACACATGCATGAAGCTACAGTAAAGTATTTATACTAGTTATATGCGCCTATTGTCTGGCAGAATTTCAATAAAAAATGCGAATTTCCAACAATAATAAAAGTCAACTCACACACATATGTGCATATAAAATTACAAAACAAACTAGAAAACTTGCGTATAAATTACATACATACATATGTATGTATATTAAACCGCGCCACGACGTAAGAACCAAAAAAAGTTCAATTTTTTCGCCACTGTAAAAACAGCTAAATTAGTTTATTTTATAATATTTTTATTTGATGTCCAATTTCGATTTCGATACATAAATGATACTTCGTTGGAAAGGTATTAAGAAATGCAACGGTATATCACTTATAAAAATCTGACGTCAAATAACTGTCTACAGGGTGCCGAAAAAAATGCAATGCTGAATATTGCTTGGAACAAATTGAACTTTTTTGTTCGTGATGCGGTCTAATGTATGTTCAAATGTATCTCTATATACATGTACATATATATGTACATACCCTTGTTTTCAGCTGATTAAATTAAGTGACATTTTGATCAGTTTTTGCTATTTTTCTTTTGTCTATTTAATGTTTATATTTTTTTTTTTATAAAAATGTAGAACACTATGTTACCAGCACCACATAAATTTACATTTGAAACTCCGTACAAAATTTATAAAAATTCAGCAAACAACAACAAACCCAGAAATTTAAAGATTTTTATTATTGAGCATTTGAGCACCGTCCCCAAAAAAAAAAAATTATTAAAATCAACGTGATTTGCTAGCGTTTTAAAATTTGCACTACAACCTACTTAAATTTAATGGGCTTATAAAACTGCATACCTAACATTTAATAAAAAGTTTAAAATTTTTGGGTGTAATTGTTAAAGTTTGTTAAATTTTTATAATTTTTTTACGAAACTTCAAATATAGATTTATGTGGTGCTGGTTATGTAATGTGCTAAACTTTTATAAAAAAATTATAAACATTAAATACGCAAAAGAAAAATAATCAAAACTGGTAAAAATGTCACTTAACTTAATCAGCTGACCACAAGTGTATATGTATATGTATATTTGCATATGAATGCCAGCTTGGTCACACCCACACAAACACCTGCCTTTGGTACTTCAATCGATATTTGCAACAAGTACCCACTCAACATAAATGGTGTTGCTGCTGCTGGTGCTGCCCTAGTCAACGTCCATGTCTTCGCTGCTGCTATTACGTCCTCATCTTTTCTGCTTTTGTTTGCGTGCGTGTTTATGCCCTTTGCGGAAAATGTCGGGGTTAGTTTTGTGTGGTGATTTTTTTGCAAGCATACATATGTACATACTTACAACTGTTAATCTAACTAAGCAAAGTCTTATGCATATTCCTGTTAGCGGTAATTAGAAAGCCAATCAAGATTCGCATATTAAGAAGCTTTTAAATGTAAATAATGGATGGGATTAGAAAATGCAAGGCAAGGGTGTGCTTTGCAATGGTAAAGTTGATTGCGTTAATCGGCGGAATTTATAGAAATGCGTTTTTTGGACTTCCTCTTACTAAAAAATTCACATGAACAAAAATGGTAAAGCCATTATTTCCAGTACTATCGTCATACGATAACTTTCGCAGTGTCATTTATTGGAAAAGCCTTCTAGTTTAAAGCAACCTGAGTCTAGAAATGTTATAAATAAATCTCGCCAGAATAATTTTGTTTATCTCGAAGGAAGAAAATGTTTAGGAGAAGTTATCTGCTTGAGTCGGTGAATTTGTGTGACCTTTTCGTGGTCTTACTTTCTAAGAGCTTTATAGTGACATGACTGCTGAAGTGTTATAAGATATGAGGGGAGAAGTACC